TGCATATGAAATTAGATCTGAAGAAGCGAAACAGAATTTGCTTAATAAATAGGTGTTTATAGCTTGGCATGGAAGAACACAAACATTCCACAAACACAACTTCAAACAAACAAAAGGGCTTCCATCGTCACTATAAAAAAAAAATTGAATCATTATGAAAAAATATTTTTTGAAGACACGGTTTTTGGGATTTCATTAATTCATGATGTAAAAAACTGATCTAGTTCAAATTTAAATTCTGTAATAATTTATAGAATATTTTTTTCGTACACGTGTACATAATATGGACATATTATATACCTATATATATATTACACTGAAAATTTATGGATCGAGACTCGTGATGCATATCTTCTAATAGGTTTGCTTCTATTATACCTACGACTTATATAGTTAAATAAACTTAATTCAATATAATACCTAGGTCCTATAGACTGAAATTCCTAGTCTTATCAGCGAAGGCTTTCAGTCGGAATACCTGCAAAGATAATATTTGATAACAAAGAATCATACTATCGGTATGTGACCCAAATAGATTGTTCTCGTAAAAATATTCACCAACTAATTATTATATGATATCTATGTTAGTTTCAGGTTGTCTTTATATCTTTTACTTTTCTATATTTTTGTTAATGATAATATGCTGAGAATAGACTATCACGCTTCGCGATTTACTATTTTTTACTTTTTTTTGTGATGTTGTACTTAGGTTAAGATACGATGGGGCTAACATGTCCTAAAAGGATTAAAAGTCCCTAAATAAAAATAGAGATAAAAAAAAACTTTTTACGCATAATATTATAATGTCTTTTTTATCATGATTGCACTTTTTTCGTCTTTTTAAACTTTGGTAATTTTAAAAGTTTTTTTTAATAAAATAACGTAAGGCGCTTTTACTATGCTATAAATATCATAGTTTGTTCTTTTTTCAGTGGAGGTGCACTAATGATGTGATTTTTGTATATAGTTACATAGTAGGTATAATTTGTAACCGACACAGGTCTTTTTATGTAATTAGGTCAACAATTTGGAAATTTAATCTAGAAGTAATTGTTATTTAGGTAAAATATAGAAAGTCATAAAGCTGTTGTAGCGTACAACAGTAGGTACATGAATAAATCGTGCACAATAAAAAGGTGCCTTGAAAGAGACTATCTTTGTTCTGTTCTTAAATACTAACAAAAATTAAAGATTAAAAGCAAATATTTTACCTTCCTACAATTTTCCTTATAAAATTAAAAATAAAACTTGTTTTGCTTCCAATTTTCCTCGAGAAGTTACGTGCATGATAGCACAAGGAAATCCACCCCCGCGGAAGAAGACCACCTGGACGTGCTATCTTAATTCAGTAATTCCAATTGAGAGGTATTTCAATTCATAAGCACAACCCACCAGTTCATTATCGCTATAAATATGACAGGTGAGATCGGCGATCAAGATCAAGGTTTATGGTTGCTTAGGATGAAACAGACTCTATATATAACGTGCGGACTATAGGTTGTTAACGACTCGGGGCATAAATAATAATAAAACGATCGCAAATGGATTATAATCAACCATTTACAGAATGACCTGAACTAGTGCGCCGGCGCATTTAAAACTCTATGACGTTCATGGTAGTCTTATCTTTTATGAAATATTAGCGACTTGCCGTCGCTTCGCTCGGGTGTTTCCCTGGTTGCTGTTCACATTTACCTATAATATTACTAGCTACTCACCCTCGCTTCGCTTCGAGTTCGTCTATAGACAAAAACAAATCTATCCCACGGAAACCATAAATTTTTCCGGGATAAAAAGTAACCTATGTGCTATTCCAGACTATAATCTATCTCTGTGCCCATCCAGATCAGTTAAGCCGTTCTGACGTAAGAGAGTAAGAATCATTCATCATCAACAATAACATCCATCAATCCTCACAAACTTTCACATTTATAATTTTACTTAGTGTGGAAATTCAATATGTCGATCTAGTCACTAAATCTGGACCCAATATATTTGCGCACTTGTGGTTTTATTCCGAGAAAACAAAGCATTACCTGCCTGGCTAGTTTATATTAATTTGTATACAAAAAAATAATTTACCCTACAGATTTTAATGTGTATAAATTATAAATGTGAAAGTTTGTGAGTATGTATGGATGTTGATTGTTGTGATGTTACTCTTTCACGCCAGAACGGCTGAACGGATCTGGATGAAATTTGGCACAGAGATAGTAAATAGTTTGGAATAACACATAGGCTACTTTTTATTCCGAATAAATGTACGGTTAAATGGTGCATCGCAGGATCTTCGCTTACACACTCAACTACGACCCCCCGACTGGTGCCTGCCGGTAGACTACAGCAACCATGGGGTTGCTTCCACGGTCTACTCTGCTATCAGAGAAGTACCAGGAGCAACCCGCATAGTACATCACCGAAGTGAGCCACCTCCCTTGGCAGACTTGGCTTCATGCTCGGCTGGATTGCCAGACAGGTCTAATGAGACCCCACGACGCTACTACTTTTAATTGACGTACGTATATATACGTGTATGCAGATAAAATTGCAGAATATGAATATTAAAAATATGAGAGGTGCAACAAAAAGATATTATTAAATAAAACTATCTTTTCGGATTATTTCGCGGATTTATTTTGATTTTTGGTTCCCGACGTTTCGAATGCTTTACAGCATCCATGGTCACGGGAGAGACTAATGAATATAGAATGAATAGATACGTTTATTAAAAATATATATTTTAGAAAATGTGTGTGGCGCAATGAACATAAATCAGTGATAAAGCAAGTGACTTAAATCTGCAGTGTCCTAGATCTGTAAGCTGCACTTGTTAATGAAGATGGAACGACCGACCTGCCACATATTAATAAATAAGTAAGGAACGATTTAACAAAGTGCTTTACCTTGACCGTTTTAATATAGTTCAAAATTGGTTTTGGTATGGTATATGGGAGACAGTATATACACGACGACACGTTTAGCTCAGCTTATACTTACTGTGCCAGCGGTCGCGGGATCAAGTCCCGCTGGGGACATTCATTTGTGTGATGAGTACGAATGCTTGTACTCCAGTCACGGGTGTTTATATTTATAATATGTATGTATTTAAAATTATATGTAGGAATATGTGTAGTGTATCACTAACTGGTATCCATAACACAGGCCTTATAGCTTACCATGGAACTAGATGGTGCTGTGTGTTAATGTCCTAACATATTTATTTATTATTCAACTTAAAAGAAAAAAAATAACAAGATTTTAGACCTTTTGTGGTAAAAAAAACTGAACTGTTAAAAAAATACAGTGTAATATTTTAACATAAAACCAGACTCACTAAACTCTTTGGAAATGGACTATGGGGTGGCTCCACGACAAGGTGACCAAACCCAATAATTAATCAAGCAAAATATACAAAAAGGGTTGAAATAAATTCGTATAAACAATACAAACTAATCCTATAGGATGTGAAACTCTAGCGTACACAAACCGTCTGTATGTAGGTATGTATATATATTATATGGATGAATTATGATGTCACTAGATACCTACTGCACCAAGACAGTCGTTCAATAAACGATAAAGTAATTTCCGCACATTTCTTAATACAATTGAAACAATTACTTTAGAATCTATTATTAAATAAAAAGCGTTGGCGTGAGAACATTTAGATTGAACCATCAACAGCTGATGTGAGATACATAATCAACTTACACAGCACACACGACACCGCTCTTAGTCGTGACATCATCTGAGTATCTGTATTAACTATATTATTACTTCGAACAAAGTTAATACAAATATAGATGATGTACAAACATTCAGCAAAGTTTACGCCTTTTGTAAAATAAAATATCCAAGAAATACTTGCGGAAATTATCAAATTTCATATAAATTAATCATAAACATCGCAACATATTTCCTTAATACTAAAATTATATGTAGATATCTACCAATTACAATTAAGTATACCCACCAATATAAATATAATAAAGCATGTAAAATATTATTTCTATTTTTTTAAAAAAACTATATTAATCATGGTATGAGACGATGTAGTGGGCAGACTCCTTAAAACAAAATGACCATAGCGTAAAAAGTGCAATTGTACATACCTGATATCAGCTAAGGCAATAATGCCTAACAGAAAATTGCAGCATGATTACAGTAGGTAAGGATTAGAAATTCCAAGTAAAATTCCACTCACAATAATTCGCCATGCAATATTTATTTTTAAAAATAATTATTATATAATTCCTATGATTTTATTATTCACTTTTAAAAAATAAAGTTTACATCATGTTTTTACAATTTTGATTAATAAGTTTTCCCGCCAAAAGTCCAAAAATGACAAATGACTTTTTATAAACATTGACGTTTTGTTAAATAAAGTTGGTTCCACACGAAATAATTGTCTCAAAAAATACTGTGCATTTATACTTAAATTACCGTTACATAAAAGTGTGCAACTTATACATTTTATTAACAATTAAATAGATTTATTGAAAAAAATTTTCGTTACGCAGTTAAATAGGTAGTATTAATTGTCTTATAAACTACTTATTTTTGAGAGAACATAATAAAAAAAATATACCTACATACTAATCTAAAAAAATACATACTAATCACTTACAATTCTAAAAATGTTTTATTTTTTGTTACTTATTCTTAACATAAGTAAAAATTCTACTCTACATATTTTATGTTAGACAATCTTATCTCATTTACCACTTTTTAAAAAGAACCACATATTTTGCGTCTCCAAGAACCCATGTATGTAATTTACCAAAGTTAAGTACCTATACATATATTATTGCCTATTTATCTGTCCTTAGTTCATATCATATAAATTCACTGAGAGTTTTCACTGTTCTTTTATTTTATATATCACTTGGTCCAAAATATGAGCTAAGCAGGATCGCATAGCAAGTAAAACAAAAAAAAATAAAAAAATAATTTATTTTATCACTAATTATCCATATCTAGTGTAAAGCTTATTCTCATCCGGGCGGTTTCAAAACATTAATTTCATTACCTCTGTACAAATAAGCTTTGAAATCACAAATCTTTTTGCCATCGTGGTACAGATATAATTTAAGGCACGTTTCACAGAAGAAGGCTGGGTCGAAGGGCACCCTGGAGCAGCCCGTGACTATCCACTTGGCACCGAACTCCGCACAGGTGGTGCAGTAGATGGTCTGGTTCTGCGAGATGGCTGTATGGAAGGGGTAGAGCGACTGGCGCAGCGGGTCGGACGCGCCTAGTAGCCGAACCTCGGAGAACGTGAACAGGTGCTCACAGCTACCCTGGTGCACGTACACCTGGACACCACACACATTTGTTGGAACACATCATAGTCGGAGTAGCCATTGTTTAGTGTATGATGCTTATAAGGATATACAATCAAATTCCATAGAAAATGAAAAAAAAAAATAGTCTTAACCTTTTTTTTGGAGTTAAAGTTTAGACAACATTTCTGTATCTAATATTCAGATTTAAAAAATAGTTTATATTTATTGTGCCTGAGCTAATACTTTTAGCTAAAACTCACTACACACTACTTCTTGCTTGGGGTTCTTCTCATGTTACAGAAACATCAATAAAAAGTACTCTATGTGCTAATCGAAGATATACATAATCTTCATTCTGAATTTCACTCAAATCCATTAAGTTACACATCTTATTACATGATCTCAGTACTCATAATATTAACTAGCAACTGACCCTCGCTTCGCTCGGGTTCATCCCTAGGGGATTCTTTAAATTGACATGACTTTTTATATGTGAACTGATTGAAATAAAACAAGTACTAAATGTTAAGTCAAGCTTACCACAATACATTAGTGAAAACCGCACTCAAATCGGTTAAGCCGTTTCTGAGATTAGCGCGCACAAACGCACAGATAAACCGACGAAAATTCTAAAAATCTTTGTTTTATTCTAAGACACCCCACCCCGGTCTTAGAACCCAAAACAAAATAATAGTTATTCTCAAATCTTCCATGTATATAAAACGATCAATTACAATTTTATAACATGTATTATTATAATAGATATCTATTATATAATATGATATAAACTTTTACTCAGTACACTCTCTTACGATAATTATTGATAGCTAAAGTCACCTCGGGATGTCCAAGTTTAATGGGTAACTGGTCTAAAGTTAACTCCATGTCTCTGTGTGGGAATTGGCCCATCTGCCGCTTCTGTGCCCATTCTCGGATTGGCTTGGAATTATCCTTGCAACCCTTTCTGACGTCCACGTAGAATGTATTGTTTATAAATAAGAAGCCTGACGGAAACATTTCCTGAAAGGACGATGAACATGATGGCTAGACTTGTATAATCTGCGTTGCGTATACAATATATCTTCTTTAATTTATTTTAGATATTCCTTTAACTTATTTTTCGTGAAACGAAGTGAACAACGAACGAATGAAAAATGAACACAGATAATATATACATCAAATTTAATACACACATATATAGGCCATAGGGCATTACACATTACAAAAAGCAGGATCCATCATTTATGACGCAATATTGAAATTGCAGAAAATGTAACATAAAATGAAAATGTGAAATAGCATGACGAAGGGGGAGAGAGAGTAAAAAACCAGCCAAGTGAGAGTCGGACTCGCGCACGAAGGGTTCCGTACCATCTATACATATAATAAAATTCTAACAGAGTCGAATCTGTACATTAAATATTTTTTGGAAAATCTGATTGAAATAGTCATTATTATCGACACAGAGACCGAATCTATACTTTTTAGAATTTTTGTCTGTCTATCTGTCTGTTACCGCATCACGGAAAATCCACTGGAGGGTTTTTATGAAATTTGTTATGATGATAGCTGATTATCCGGGTCAACATATAGTATACTTTTTACTGCGGGAAAACATCTCATCTCTGAGAAATCTATACTAACGTTAAAATGTAAGTAAGAACGAACACCCCCCCCCCATCCCGCTCTCCCTCCACGTGCGTTCACCTTGTCGTGGTGGGGGGGCTCATTAGCGTCCGGCAGTTCAGCCGGGCACGCAGCCAAGAAACGCACAGGGAGGTGGCCCACTTCGGTGGGCGGTGGGAGGTGGCGGGTTGCTCCTGGTACTTCTCTGATAACAGAGTGGACCTTGGAGCAACCTCATGGTTGTTGTGGTCTGCTTCGGCAGAACTGCCGTCGGGGCGACGTAGTTGAATGCGTAAGCGATCCTGTGACGCCCCATTAAGACGGGGGAAGGTTTTGTTGGGTTTTAGTGGGTAGTACTGGCTCTGCCAGTGAGTCCCACACCTCGTGCGTAAATGCATTTCCCAACGTTAAAAAAAAAAGGGGCGAACCCGAGTGGAGCGAGGGTGAGGCGTTAGTTATCTATAAAAATAGCAAAAAAATCACGTTTATTGTATGGGAGCCCCCATTAAATATTTATTTTATTGTTTTTTAGTGAAAATTCTGTCTTCATCTGTGAAAATTTCGAATGTCTAACTATCACGGTTCGTGAGATACAGCCTGGTGGCAGACGGATGGTCGGATGGACGGACAGACGGAAGGACAGACAGACAGTATTAGGGTCTCGTTTTACCCTTTGAGTACGGAATCCTAAAAAGGTAATATTTTGCATGACATATTTTATGAACAGCCCTTTACTGCAATTCTGGACACCCTTTTTCTAAATTTTTTTTTGTTAGAAACTGCCTTCTTATGAATTAACCTATGAATCAATTTTTTTATGGGCAATTATGTATTATAAAGCCTATCCTTTCAATCATACCTTAGCAGATGTAGGAGGCAGCTCGTCTGGATTTTCAGATACATCTATTCTCATGCCTACATCATTAGCACAAACAATGCGATCTCTCAGCACTGTTAGCTTCTGCCTTCCGAGAAGAACAATATCATGACTTAATATTGAATGCCTAGTGTTCTGTAAGCAGACATTCTAAGATAACTGAAATGCATTTAGTCATTAGTTTGATTACAGTTATTTCTCTTTTAATTAGAAAGCAAATTACAAATACAATACAAGAGAATACTAAAGCAAAACAAAAACATATTAGAATAATATTTCAGTGTAATTTTAAATGTTAACCAGAAAATTTTCAAAAGTTACTTACATTTCTCTCTTTCCCACTGCAAAAAAATGGACGATACACCCGAACACGAAATATCAAATCCTTGCCTGGTTCCAATGGAGGAATAGCAATTTTATAATTGTCATCCTAAATAATAATATTAATGTCATTAAAGGTTTTTGTTAAATATGTAGAAAGTTGTATTATTTATTTTATCTTTAACACCTCCAGGTCAATTTCCAAGAAATTAATTAAATTTTTAAGAAATCTATTGTTAACTGTAACACCGGCGTGTCCACGGTCATAAGGGATTAACAATCTATTCATATAAATACTATATTTATGATTTAATTAAATTAAACTAAGAATGATTTCTATGTCTATATTATTACCTCGTTTATAGTGGGGAAACATCGCACACCTCTATATTTAAGCTGACGTGTATACTGATTACCAGTGTCTTTTTCCAACCGTAGCTTTAGTTTTTTGACTATGCAGAGGTTCTCAGCAATTCCGTTCTTTTGTAAATCACTTAAAGTTTTACCTGGCAAGGGACCTTGAGTGGGGTAGTTGGTAGATAATGTCAACTCTGTACCCATTTTGAGGTGACTAGGACTGTAAATTAAGTACTTAAATTATTTTATTATATAAATATTACTTAATATAATAGCCTTTAAACTTTGCAATGTTGTTTGGATGTTTATGGCTCAATCATGTATAAGTCTTTGAACATTTAAATATGACTAGACACATAGGTTTTGTGCTAGAAAAATGCACAATAGATTATCTAGTAATATGTTGTGTTGGAATAACAGCTATTTTAAGCTTTAATCTTTAACTTATGAATAGACAGTAGTACCTAAAAAAGTCAAAGAAAGAAATCACATCTAAAACACGAAAAAAATATAATTTATTATTTATAACCATTAGGAATAATGTAACTATCTATTAATAATTAATAAAATCGGTTCAATAGTTTCAGTGTTTAACATTCATCTACAGGATGTGATTTTCCTCTCTTATTTGCTCTAAATCTCCTATTTACAAGAAAATGGATGTATATAATGTAAATAAGTACCTATAAGTAATGCACATTATAGCATTATTTCTTTAAATATAAAGTACCAATAATTCAAAAGTACCTGCAGAAATTAACAAGATTATTGAATTCTTCATCATTTAAGTCACATCCAACAAACTCTCTAACTTTTGATCTTTGAAATTTTTCTAAATCCTTCTTCGTTTTTGGTCTTCCATAAATTGGCATAAATCTAAATGCTTGTGGAAGATTCTTTGTAATTAGTAATGGAGTGACAATGTTACCCCTAACAGGGTACAATTTCGGCCCTTTGTCTTCTGCATATAACTCTACTCTATTATTTTTATATAAAGTTGGATCCATATTTATGGGAACTTCTGTATCAATTTTGCTACTTGCATGAGATTCGGACATAAGTGCATCTTGATTAAAAGATTCATCATCATTAACTGTATTGTTTCTTTCTTCTATTAAAAATTCACCATCGCTAATAGATTGAATATTCTCATCAATATTCCCAATTTTCTCATCCATATTAAAATGTTTGACTAAAAGCAGGGAAAACTGGTTATCAATGAATGGTGTATTCTTATAATAAATTCAGTTTTCACTGTGCTGTTCATAGGCTAATTATTGTTGAAATTATTTAATTTTATGCAATAAATAATAAAGAAATTATTTTGGATTTTGTCAATTCAAAATACAAGCCAGTCCAAAATATTAGCCAGTCCACAGATAAAGTAAGTTTAAAGTTTAAACAATACTGAATACAAACGTCAAATAGTTTTCATAGGCTATGTAAACCACAAACTATAAAGAGATGATGAAAACTTTACAGTTTTGACATTATTCGTGGCTTTCTGCTTTTGAGAAGAAGAATCAGAATCATAGACATTATATATGTAGGTAAGATGTGATGATGTTCTCCTAGCCGATTCCGGCCACGGCGGCCAATCTCATGGAGACTAGCCAACTGCGCAGGAGATATTATAGTGCACAAGTGTACGCGCAGACACAACGTGCACTCTCTATTCCTGTCACTCTCATTACTCCGGTGGGACGATTGCTCGACACGACCAGTGAGAGTTAAGGCGCAGGACCGACGGCTTTACGTGCTCTCCAAGGCACGGGGGTGAAACACCGCCAACTTCCCTACTCCGGGCTGTTACTGAGACTTACTATACAGAAAGACTCAATAACTAAACTTGGCCCGACCCGGGACTCGAACCCAGGACCTCCAAGTGTGCAGCCGTACATGCTAGCCACTACACCACCGAGGCAGTCGGTAAGATGTAGGCAGAGAGTAAATACCAAGTCTTACTTTATATATTCATAACTTACTTCAAGATAAATTTAAAGAAAACTATTTTTTTTTTTATTTGCACTTCATAACGGAGTATATTCAGTATTATAGTCAGGCTACGCATTATCCAGGCCATCTTTGGGCAATTCCCTATGGCCTACTCAGAGATGAATCCCGGCAGATGAGTCACATTTAACAAACTTAAATCTCTGACTTAAATTTCTACGTGTCGCAAAACAAACTTTCACAGTTCTTTTAAAGGACAGGGCTCCTTCCCGTGAAACCCAAAGTTTTTAAAAATATAATAAACCATTTAAATTCAACAAGCTTTTATAAAGTATACTGTGTAAACTAAAGTGCTGCAGAGTTTGTGATTGTGTGTCTTTTTAATTTATTGAAAGAAGTATTCAAAGCGAGTAATTTTGTGTTGCCCATTATAATTTTACTACCTTTTTTTTTGTTTTTTTGTTCATATAGTAGTCTTTTTATTAAAACATTATCATTTTCAAGGTAGTGACACAGATGCCTATATCGTATTTATAATATTACTAGCGGCTCACCCTCGCTTCGCTAGGGTCACCTCTAGTAAAACAAAAACGGATCTATCTCACGGGAACCGTACATTTTTCCAGGATAAAAATTAGCCTACTTGTTATTCTGATGTAAGAACTATATATAACTTACATAGTATATTTTATACATTATATATATATTTTATAACGTATTATTTAGTAAAGTTTCAGTCAATGCTACTGAACAGAGCAAGAATAGATAGATATAGATAGTCAAACAAAATTATTCGACGTGATTATTTATTGGCATAACTTTTTTTGTATTTATGAACCGATTGACATGAAACAAACACTAAATATTAAGTGGAGCTTACCACAGTATATTAGTGAATCGGATAAGCCGTTTCTGGAATTAGCGTGCACAAACGCACAGACAAACAGACAAAAATTCTAACAATCATTGTTTTTTTGAGTCGATAAAGGTCCCAATATTATTTTTTTTCATATATCTTCCATGTAGAGACAGCGATCCGTTACATTACTATTTTATGTATAGATAATTTACATATAGGTAGCGCTACATTTTAGCTATTTTTTTTATTACTAATTTAAAACTTTGTAACAAATTTCATCTAAACCCGTCCAGTTATTTCAGCGTGAAAGGAGTACGAGTACATACATACATAACACTTTTGCAGAAACAAGCTTTCACATTTATAAAGTGTATTTAATCGTATAATTTTACATTATAAGTATCCGAACAGGTACACTTTGCAACATTACAGTTTGAACCAGCCCCGGCCGAGCTCCATACAAGCGCATATTCATAAAACCGAAGGCGAATAAGACGAAGCGGGGGCCGGGGGGGTCAAGATAGTCAAAGAAAGATTTTTCCCGATTTAACCATTATAAATTAAAAATAGCTACATGGGATATGTTAATTAATATCTTATTATATTATAAAATATACTTAAGTTAAATATGCTTAAAATGTTTTTTTTTTTATAAATCATATGTGCTATATATTGATTTATATAATTATATTCTAAATGATTTTAACTATTATCGAATATCTTATATTTTAATTATATTTCATTTCAAACATAAAATATCTATTAACATAGGTTTTTATGTTATAAAAATTGATTTATATTTTAGAGCTGTGTCATGAATTTGCCTTAATATGGGGACAGTTATGGCATAAATGGCAAGTCAAAATATGCTGTCACTTTCACGGCTATTGTATTTCTTTTGAGTCGCCACGCATCTCTTTCTAAGGGTATGACGTCATATGCGAATCTGGGAGAATTTAGTTCGTAGTGATGTAAATCGGTATTCATTACGATTACGTAGGGATGTATTTTATCGTAATGTTATCGGTTTTCAACAACTGTTATCGGTTTTATAGTAAGGTTTTCATTTTTATGATATTAATTATAATTAGAAATAAAATACAAAGATAGGTTTCTAGTTTTTTTATTTTACTATTTTAATGCTACCACTAGTTCGGAAAAATGCCTCAGACCTGAGAAGAATTAGCAAGGACTGAGGTCCTTGACGGGATAACCTTTTTTTTCTTAACATTTATAATACATTGTTATTACAATAAAAGGACATTTTTAAAGAATTTTATCAATTGAATACAAAATACAGAAAGAAAAAGAAACAGAAAGAAAGATAATAACAATGAGACAAAGACTAATACAACGATTTGGTATAAAATATTACAATGCAATAAAATTAGAAGTAACATAGAACAATAGTTTTTGTTAATAACAATATCATATTAAGCGAGTAGTAGGTTTAATTGTAGGTATAAATTAAAATCTAGCTTTTGTTTGAAGTTTTAGCTCTAGAACCACCTTCATCTTAAGTTTATAAAATGCAAAGATTCGAGATTAGCGCATTTGAAAAAACAAACATTTTAATCTTATATAAATTTAAAAAAAAAAAATGCAAATTTCAGTAAAAAATGAATAATAAAATTAATTTTCTTAAAAGCTTAAGAAATTTAAAATCAATATGTACATAGTAATAGTAAAAATTTGGTGTAAAAAGAAATAACAGCTAAACATACTCTTAAATAAAATTTCTAAATGCATAGTTCTATCAAATGTAACAATTATAATTAATATATTAAAATTATATACTGCTATAGTAGTATATTTTAAGAAATTATAATATTATTTCACAGAAATCAAATGAAATATTCATACATTATTTTTATACTTAATAGAAAACATAATGAAAAATGGAAAATTCCAAGTGATTATCTTTTAAATAACCAAGAAATGAAACAAACAAGAGTAATAAATATTAAAAGTTAATTAATGAAAAAATATTGGAAAATCATTCACTACTCTGAAGACTAGATGAGTTCAACCATAGCTAGGCCCTTCTGAACTTTCATATTAAGCAAATTTTTCTATTTCCAGACCCTTTTTTCTCGAATCCACTTTATGCATTCTTCAATTAAAATTTATACACCTGTGTCTAACTTTTATACATATCATAAATAATGAGAATGCTCTTAAAAATATTTCTCTATGATCTACACAAGTGTACCAAGAGGTATCAAGATTTTCAAATGCTTTTATTAAATCGGGAAATATGTAAACTTTACAAATCTTTGGTAATTGTCTTTTAATTATGTAAATTGCATACCATACTAGAGATGACAGATTCTTAGAAGGATCATGTATTTTATTATTAATGAATAAAATAATCTCAGCTGTGAATAAGCCATTCTCAATATTTACATTTAATGTATTACAATAATTGTGTTCTTCCCTGGAAACTAAAAGCCTTTATCAGGAGACTTATAGATGTTGAAACACTTCAACTGCTGAAACACCTGCGCAGCATATACTTCACCTGTAAAATATATTATTATAATAAATTAATGTAATACAACAAATAGTCACCATAACTATATAGTATATGAACTAGTAACTACTGTAGATGAATAGTAGCTTATTTAAATATAGTAATAGTTTAGTATTATTAGGGTCTAGGTAGATAAGCCAATTAGGCCCTTAAATAGCTGTTAACATTATACAATAGATAGGCTATAGAGTTGATAAATTTGTTTTAATGGACTGAGCATTACATGGATAAGTGCATTCAAACAATAAACAAAACTATTCAATTTTACATATTAGAATAGAATAGTATAATAATAAATAGTATAATAATATCAATAGCTTCAAGAAGTTTCCTTCTTAAAAACAATTTCATATTAAAGATAATATCCAAGATCTAAAGTAATATAATAATATCTTAATTTACTAAACTTAACAATATAGTTACCTTCATCTTAACAAAAGAGTTTGGATAAATATGCCTGTCAGTAAGTTTGTTAGCCTTGCAGCACCTTTATGGTCATCTACTTTATACAACATATAAACATAATCCCATTGAGCATGCTGACTGCCAAGGAGCAAATTCTTTTTCTGAAAATTATTACTGAAACATTTCAGTAAATGAGGTACATCATACTTATGATAGGTTTTGTTCCCACTTCCTATTAACTTCATAATGGATAGCACTTGATGCATCATTGGCACTACAAAGTATATTTACCTTAGTATCAGAAATTAATGAATTTATTACAGCTACATTGGCAGAAACCTGGTCAGATAGAGTTACTCTAGAAATAAACCGTTTATAAGAATTTCTATAAGTATACGTTATAAAATTGAAGTGCATCTGTATAAGGCATTCTATGGCATGAAAAACCTTCTGTTCCTTCCTGACAATTCGGAATTACAATGCTTTCCCATGATTACACAACATTAATAAAAAAACAAAAAAAGGAAGAGAAACACTAATGAAAAAATAACAAATTTTGTATCCAAGCACAAATCTTAACTATATCACTGATCTACATTAATCAGCACTTATCCACATTAATTAATACTAATCTACAAATTGATAAAATGTAAATTTTAAGTGTAAAATAATATAAAAAACGGCAAGCCCTCACACCCTAGTCCCCAGGGGCGAGTAATAACGACGGTTAAAACTTGAATATTTCAAAAATGACAAAATATTGCAGTGACGTCACAGTAGTGACGTATGTAACTGCGACAGAAATAAGTTGTTGTCCCACTCGTTGTCGCCAAATGTAGAGATAGCATGCAAGTTACCAAGCAAATGAAAGGGATAGATAGATCCACCAAGAGCTCGTATGGAACTAATTCATCTATTTTATTTGTCATCCATGGTTTGAACTTTGACGTTTGTACACTTGTCTTATTATTGTCAAAAGTCAAAACAAACTGAAAATATTTTAGTACTTTAGATTTTATTTTCAAAATATTTTAATAAACTAAGAAAATGTTGACTTTATGGAACTTATTTGAAGCTAGTTTACTCTGCCTTAATGCTGTTTGTGTTCTACATGAAGAAAGATTTATGCAAAAAAGTAATATATAACCTTATAACCCAGTTGTAGTTTAACTTTGTATTTAGTTTATGTTCAATAACTTATTTCTTACAGTGGGATGGGGTGCTAATACTCAAAATCAAGGTTTCCAAGATCAATCTTCTATTAAATATCAAATTCTGAATTTGGTCAGGTCAATAAGGACAGTAACAAGAAGTAAGTTAATGTTAAAAAATATTTTAACTTTCAAATACATTTATTTTGTGCAAAGATATATAATTTATTATCTTCATAGTACTTTCTCATATAAAAGTAACTCTTCTATTTGGCAAGAATAATAATAATTGAATTATTGTTACTGTACTTTGAATATTGAATACAAAAATCGAAAATATATTTTTTTTTTGTTACAGTACCACTCATTATACTAAATATATTAACAATAATATTTAAACTATTGTTGGGATAAAAGAGGACGTCTGCGAAGCTATTTGTAATACTAAAATAAGAAATGTTAATTGCAGTGGAAGTTTTTACAAATTTTTTTTTGTAATTATCTAATAAAATATGATATTATGTTTAACTTAAATTACACTTTTTTATTGCCTGACTGTCCACAAAAGAAATCACATCAATTAAAAATAAACAATGTTTAAATCCTTCATATAATTGATTTAAATATGTTTCATGTACACTTCGGTTCTCATTTGGATTGTGACTTAAAAGTTAAGACTAAGGAATAATACTGTGAATGAAACAATTATGCTATATCTCCTTCAAGTTGCTTAATTAATGCTTAAAAAATACAATAGAATATAGTAATATTTTTATTATTCATAATTATATGATTCAATTATATATATATATATATATATATAAATTTTCATTTATACTTTAAAAAAAAGTAAACAATCTGTATGGCAAAATCGAGAATAGTAGCATAAACAGCAAATCACGATATATGACTGACATTTATTTTGGCGAGCGATTTATATTTTCCTTTCAAAAATACAGAAGAAAAAAATTCTTTCAAGACACAGTAATTGGCGAATCTAAAGACGTTTGAACTTTGAATTACCAAAATATTATATATTATAGTTTATGCCGTTTACTAATTACGAGGAATCAGGAAACATAGCATACATACAGAGGTATATATATATAGTACACACTTATAGGTCAATAAGCCTACTTTGGGCTTCGCAACCTTCGATCAACAATACTACTACCTATTAGAAAAAAATCCGTCTCGGTAAATATCACCTCATTTGAAAATTGAGCGTATATTTCGATTAGTTCTCTTAGTAGGGGAGCCCAAGAGGGGATTTTCTGTAGTTACTCGAGCGCGGCAGATTAACATAAAAGAGGTTACCTTGCACTCTATTGAGTACTTTCACCATAATATAAGTCTTCTATATAAAGGGGCGCGTCTATGGAAACCGATTAAAATATTTAAAAAATGTTTTGATAAGGTAGAAATACTTGAAACCGTCAGATTAAGGTGTGGTAGGCTAGTCACATCCTGAAAAGTGTCCAATTTAATAATCTGCCGATTTGCACAAGCCTAAGAGGCAAAAATCATCATAAACTTTATAGTCGAAAGTACTCAATAGAGTGCAAGGTAACCTCTTTTATGTTAATCTGCCGCGCTCGAGTAACTACAGAAAATCCCCTCTTGGGCTCCCCTACTATATAATCTATTCCAACGTAAACACGCGTCAATGTCACGTCACAATGCCGCAATATAATATATTTAAAAGTTGCAAAAATAATGTGCGAAGAAGAAATTTTTCAGATGAAGTGTCTTATTTTCGATAAGTACGTTAAGTCAATATTTCAAGATTTAACCTATGAAATAATATAAAAATGAAATTTTAAATCCGCTAAGAACGATAGCCCAGGTCGAAGCAAACAAAAACAAAACATAACGATTTAGCTCACAAAGCAACCACGGGAAAAAAGGGATTTATGTGTTTTAGTATAAGATTGATTTTACAATAAATATTATAAAACTTACGTATTTTCATTCCTAAGTGACAATTGTAATTTATTTGTGACAAATGATTGTAAGTGTTAGATGATAATTAGAAGATTTGTGACTTTATTACAAGGTACTATGGTGTTGATTAGCTTAAAAATAAAACTATTATAAGGCTTTGTCATATTGGTTCGTTTGTATAAAAATGAAGCCGTATATGTGCATATTCGTGAAGACAGAATTTAGCTTTGATTTTGTATGTGACACGTTATCTAGGTATTTTTGATCGAAGATCGCTTCCCTCTTGGTTCTTTTATGGTTTATCTGTTTCTCTGTTTATACGGGCTAATCTCCGAAACTGTTGGACCGATTTAATAAAATTTTGCATGGTGGCATCTAAAATGTTGACCAGGGATATATCCCTGGTCAACATTTTAGGCACTTTTCATCCCGGAAAGATATATGGTTCCCGAGGGATAGATTTATTTTCTGTTCTTCTAGAGGCGAACCCGAGCGAAGCGAGGGTGAGACGATAGTTATATTTAATTATATAATACTAACCAGCAGAACCCACGGCTACGCCCGCGTTCAATGTAAAACAATACTGGCTTTATGTTATGCAGTGACTCACCCCCTTCGCTGGGGCTCGTCATTATGTATTTACTTAATATTGTTCACACAAAAATACTAAAAAATGGATAGTGTTGGTAGGAGGGTGAAAATACTTTGCTACCTATTCTTATACCTACTAAATATACAAAAAAAATCATTAAAATCCGTCGAGCTGTTTCGAAGGAGTGCGACAGTATATATCTATACTCTTTGGAGTGCGACCACGAACACCGTGACACGAGATATTTATATATTGGCTAATCACCTTTATTAACAGATAATACCAAATATCAATACCAATAATATAAGCTGTACCTACTGTTTGTCTTTTCCCCCGATTGTGACGAGGCCCAAAGGCCCAAAAGCCATATTAGACCCGTCCATACTATTGTGCCGATCACGGTTCGTTCTCGGTCCGATATCGGTCTGACAAAGTATTTTTATACAATAAACAATAAGTGTATTCACACTTTCAGTAAGAATCAAGTTCCGATACACTCACACTCCAGCAAAGATTTATTTTTTTATATATTAGAATTTGAATTTGAACGGATTGTGGTCGGTACAATAGTGTGCATTGATCCTTAACCTGCGAATTTTAGTACATAATATTTCACAAAGCCTATGGTTGCTAGAAAGGGATGAGCTTTTCTATTAGAATGAGACAATAACTTCAATATCATTCTTTTTGGCCTGGATTATATTCTCGGGGAAGGTTCTCCATTTTATAACATAATTCTGTAAAATATACCAACTTTTTATTACATTATTTAATGCTTATTTTACCTATTTATTTCATAAAAATTATCATAATATGAATAAATACGTTTTCCGGTTCCGTTTCTATATTTGTCGATTGTCTATGGTATTTAGCCGCCATATTTTTTTGTATCAAAGACAAAACGCCGGTCTTTTATTTCTCGTTTTCCGCTAAGAAGTGTGTGAATAGTTTTTCCGCGGAAAACTGGTAAATGATGGCAGCAAATAATTATTTTGGGTTTACCCATGGAGGGACCCAATATGGGTAAGCTATTTGCTAACAATTAGTGATTAAGATTTGGTCCATAATACATGTTCTCAAACATGAGCTGATACGCAGCCTTGTGCTCTCATTTCTATGTAATCAAAATGGCGTCTGATGTGTATTGATCGTGGTATTTTTCAAGAAAACGGATAGGCTTTGTCGAATAAAGATATCGTTGTGTGATTTTAGCGCGGCAACAGCCAGCGCTGCATACGGCGGCCAAACGGGGTACGCCGTGGCACCGGCTGCGACCGCCGCGACGTACGGGACCCAACGTGCCGCAGCAACAGGATACGATACTGCGTATCAAGCAGCAGCCGCCACCCAAGGTATGTAACACTTGAAATTATACGCTTAGCTTTTTTAATTTAAATCAAAACCAGAAAACTAGTTGGGACACAAAACGGGATCATTATGAGTCATCACAAGAAATCGATCGAATCTTTTTTCATTTGTGAATATTTTTTAAATATATATTCATTTTATACATAAAAAACAAAAATATTGCAAAAATTGAAAACCTAAAACATAAAACATAACCTTGCTAGTTGTTAGGCAAATGCAACCTACAAATTATATGATAAAAATATATTTATACTTATTGTACACTAATAAAACAAATTCTTTCTTATATTCTATTTTATCAAATAGACATAAACAATAATAAATTTATGCAATTTTAAAATAACAAGATGTTTAACTTCATTATCATTACTTCCAATAATACAATAATCATAGTTGTAAATTGTAAACATTAATGATACAATAGATTTAATTAGCCATTAAAACAGTATATAATATGATAAATAAATATTAGCTATAGTTAATGATTTAATTAAGAAACTGTTTCTGATTTGATATAATATCAAAATTCAATTAATCAAATTGTTCTTATTGTAATTTTAATCTTTTTTTTCTATATTACTTTTATATTTTTTTCAAAAATAAATATATGGTATATAATGAATAATGTATTGTTTTTGTTTGTTTGCATACAGTAAAATTGTTTACTTTATACATAGGTAATGAAAATAGGAAAAATACTTTAAAGCTGTTTAGTAAATTAAGTTAATTATCATCAATTATCATCACTAATAATATATCCATGGATTCCACCAAAATAAATATCAAAGTCAAAAATAGTAGCATGATTTGCTGTATACACTACTATTTTCCATTTTACCATACAGATAGCTTACTTTCTTAAAAGATGGGAAATTTTATACAGGTATTACTTAAATTATAGTAAAATTTTTGTTTGAGAAAATATGAATAATAAAAAAATGTGATATTTTTTTGTATTTTTTAAGTATAGATCTCTTCTCTTTGAAAGAAAGATAGCATAATATTACCTTTTTTTTCCTTTATTTTAATAATATTCATTAGCTATTTTTATTTATTTACTTATCACTCAGTATACCAATTGTTATATATGTACTGTTTTTAATCATCATTGTTTAGCTTCATGTTTAGTTCTATGACACTTTTCACTATATTGTTCCTATAATCACCTAATTTTGTATGTTTATACAATTATCACTTAGCAAATCATGTCATTCAAGTGATTATTTAATGTATTTTGTTTCTAATATAATATTGTTTGTAATATGTTCCCTGCTATAATAAATATTTCATGTTTGAGTTTATGATCCAGCGGCACACGCGCACGCGCACGCGGCCGCTGCGGCGGCTTCTGCATACGACGCGAGTAAGAGTGCATATTACCAGCAAGCGGCAGCCGCCTACCCCGCCGCAGCCCCTCCCCAGCCACAGCCCACGTACGACGCCACAGCCAAGCCGGCTTACTCCACACCGGCTACATATGCACAGGTAAGGTGTTACTTTTAAACTAAGTAAATAAATTAAGTAATAATTATCTAAGTAATTAAGTTCAGTTTTGATTATTAAGTAAGTAAATATAAGAATTGCTATTATTGCAATATGTGGGTTTTTTGGTATTGTATTCATATCTTTAAGAGATTTTATTGTAATTATATTGTTAATTAATTTAGTTTGAGGGTGTTATAGTTACATATGCTATTTTTTTGTCAAAATGAGATTAATTAATTTTTCGTTTGGTTAAAAACTTGTTCTATACACATTGAGAAGTCTCAGGTAAAAATGTCATTTATAATAAAATTAATGATCATTACTCACTAGTATAGCATAGACACTTTACTTTTTTCTTATCCCATTATCATCTTAGCTGATGCTATTTAAAAAAAAATATAGGAACAATTTTTATCAGCTTTTATTTATGAATCATACAACTTAATTACTTTTTTTTTAAATTAGTGAGCCACAAATAGGAGTAACGTTAAAGTAGATTGAACTCTCCCTTTTTTCTATATATCATTCTTTGCACCTTTTCTAATAGACGCGATTATACGAAATAACACCCTTTTTTTTTTTTTTAACGTTGGGAAATGCATTTACGCACGAGGTGTGGGACTCACCGGCAAAGCCAGTACTACCCACTAAAACCCAACGAAACCTTCCCCCGTCTTAATGGGGCGTCGCAGGATCGCTTACGCATTCAACTGCGACGCCCCGACGGCAGGTCTGCCGAAGCAGACCACAACAACCACGGGGTTGCTCCACAGTCCACTCTGCTATCAGAGAAGTACCAGGAGCAACCCGCATGGTACACTGCCCTCCGAAGAGGGCCACCTCCCACCGCCCACCGAGGTGGGCCACCTCCCACCGCCCACCGAGGTGGGCCACCTCCCTGTGCGTTTCTTGGCTTCGCGCCCGGTTGGGTTGCCGGGTACTACTGAGCCCCCCACCACGACAAGGTGAACGCACGTTGAGGGGGTAATGGGAATACCCTATGTAAGGGTTGTTTATTACCAATTTTCATAGTGAACAGTTTAAGAGTTAAAGCTCTATAAATGGCAAGTTAGTTAAACCTGTCAATTCTAAATATTGTGTGTTGGGGTGTGCCTTGCTGTTGCACGATTGTCCTGTCTAGACGCTTTGATAGACTGTATGGATTAGTAAACTGTTGTACAAATGTAATGAGATGTAAATATTGTTGAGCAATGAACTAATAAGACGACGGTGGTGGTAACAAAGCAGTATGGGCAGGGCGGCGCGCGCGGCGGCGGCGGCGCTAAGGCGTACGGCAGCGTGTACACCGCCACCACGGCCGCGTCCTACCCCTCGCAGCCCTACACCGCGCCCGCTGCGCAACCCGCTAAACGTGAGTACTATACTTAATACTCATACAAACATACGGAAACTACATTTATTTATATGTATACAGTGCAGACAAGGCTGTATAATTCATCAATAGGTAGTGGCATTTTGTAAATTAAATCATAATATTTCTTTATTATGAAGCTTTAAATATCTCTTGAAGAATAAATTTCATCCTATTTTATTATCATATATGCATTATTATAATTCATTCATTTAGAGCCATACAAATTTATAAATGAATCTGCACTGTGTATATATTAGTTATTTATAGCAATGCAACAGCATAGATTAACATTTAAACATCAATCAAACATAAAATTCCTTGGAGCTTATTATTCATTTATTTTCATTTTCATCATTAATGCTACTTTCCTTGTAGTACTTTAAATAGCTTCCTTTCTCATGCAATGCAAATAAAATTGCATATTATATTCAAGATTTGTTCACATCATAATATTTTTATTTAATATATAATTGAAGTCATTTTTCCATAAATATTTGTTATTACATATTTTATGTAGTGATAAGTAAATAATAATAAAAAGATATATTTATCTTAGGATTCTGAGTTGTGAGTCTGTCTATCCATTTAATTAGTATTATTCTATTATTTCAACAATCTTCAGTATAGTTACTTCATTACAATATATTTAAAAGCATCATAGTATATACAATATATTATACAGCCATACGCGATTTCGCCGATAAACTTAACACCTAGTATATATAAATATTATTTTGAGAGACTAGCCGTATGTAAAGTAACATTAGTTAGTAAATGTCGATGAGAGTTATATAAAATTGAGAGGCGATCGCGCTGTGTTGTTGTAGAGACGGCTAACAGGGGCACCTCTGCTTATGATACAGCTCTCTACAACGCGGCGACCATGTATGTGGCCCAGCAGAACAAAACCGGCGGCGGCGGGTGAGTCTAGCATACTTTCTTTCATTTATAATGATTAATGATTATATCTAATAAATAAAGTATGTATATATTAATCCGAAAAAATGAATTAAATTATTAATATATTACTACTTACTATAAATATAACTAAGTGCATGTCTATCAATTTTACTCTGTTACTTAAATATATTTAATTGTCAATAGTTTCATTAACTATTTAACTTAAAAATATGTTTGGCCTGATTTCTTTTTTTCGACAGAGGGTGGAAAAATTACAATAAGAGTGGAGTAGGCGCGGGCCAGCAGCGGCGGCCGAAGCCTCCGCCCAAGGCGCAGCAGCTGCACTACTGTGACGTGTGCCGCATCTCCTGCGCCGGCCCACAGGTATGCTGACCAATGTTAATGTTACACTACCAGTACAGCATAAAAATCCATGGTGTAGCCTTTTATCTTATTGGAAATACAGTTAAATGCAATGGTTGTCGCAGCCATTGCTCACTCTCTAGCCACTAGAACACTGAAGCGGTAAATCATTAAAGAAAGTATTCGTGTAGTAAACAAAAATATTTAAAGACATAGATGGTGTTTGTAGAAAGTATTGTTTGTATGTGTACAGACATACAAAGAGCACCTGGAGGGCCAGAAGCACAAGAAGAAGGAGGCGGCGGTGAAGCTGGCGGCGGCGGGCGGTGCGAGCGGCGGCGGTGCGCGCGCGTGCGGCGCGTCGGCGCTGCGCTGCGAGCTGTGCGACGTGACGTGCACGGGCGCCGACGCCTACGCGGCGCACGTGCGCGGCATCAAGCACCAGAAGGTGGTCAAGCTGCACACCATGCTCGGGAAGCCCATACCCTCCACTGAGCCCACCAAGATACAGCCAGGTTGGTACTGCTATGTTGTAACTTAAGATTACATGATTGTGGTAACTCTTTGAATTTATCAGATTTATTTTTATGATAATATTACATTAATCTAAATTTAATAAACATGTAGTTTCTACTAAAACTCGCTGATCTGTTGTTGATTTGATGTAACTGTGTTCCCTGTCGAAGAAAGCCAGATATGATCTCCACACTAGTGGAGAGCATATTTGCGAGGAGCGAGACCCCTGAACGCCACAGCATCATATCTGTATTGCGGTCGGCTTTGAGCTTTTAAGTCAAATTTTCTCAGTAACGTTTACACTTGGTACAGATATGGAGTGTGAGTGTGGGCCCTTTTATCTTCTTGTTTCAATTTCATATATAAGACATATTGTATTTCTGTAAGTCCAATAAAAATATTAATAACTAATCTAAATGTCAAATTCAGTATTTGCAAACAGAAACTTGAAAAAAAGAAACAGTGTAAGAGAAAGATGATTTTATAAATCTTATAGTATATACACAAAATAAATGGCCCAGTATATACACCATCATATTTCATTAAAAAAAAAGAGACCAGAGAGAAAATTGGACTTTTGCTCATAGCCAAAAAGACCATTGCCGGACCGCCGACAATCGCGTTCGTGGCGCGCGGGGGCCTCAGAACCGTCTCCCCCGCAGACGCCCCCGACGACGCGCCCGAGGACGACGAGCCCGAGGTGCAGCCCGTGGGGCTCGACTACATCGAGGAGATCCGCGGCGACGACGGCAAGGCGCTCAGCTTCAACTGCAAGCTCTGCGACTGTAAGTTCAACGACCCCAACGCCAAGGAGATGCACATGAAGGGTCGCCGCCACCGCTTGCAGTACAAGAAGAAGGTATGCACCACCCCTCACCGCCTCCTCACTCCCCCCGCGCCATCCGATGATTACTTAGTAAAAGGTTTGAGGCCCTCGTCGAGCCTGGAGGCCATGCGTCACCAAGAGTTCCGAGGGCCAGATGATTACAAAATTTAATGAGGATGATGACCACTCCCTATTTACAAAATATGTAACTTACTACTAACAATCGTTGTAGAACTAGAAGTTTTCAAGCATTTTCCATTTGGATATTTCATATTAATAATATTATTGACAGATAATAATTAGTAGAGTGATAATAATATGATACTTAATTTTTGATTTCCTTTCCAGTTTGAAAATCCGTTTAATAATTTTCAATTTATTAGGACAACTATAATTAATTAAATACTTTTTTCTTGCAACACCATAATTTCGTTAATATTATCAATTCATGATGTGATAATTTCTCTGATATAAAATACAATTGTCAATCTGTGCGTAGGTCCAACCGGACCTGGAAGTGAAGGTTAAGCCGTCCATGCACCAGCGCAAGCTGGCTGAGGCCAAGGCGCAGCGCATGCTCGTGCGCGACGAGCTGTGGGCGCGTCGCCGCATGCACGATGTAAGTAAACTTTTCATATAAATAAAACTATTACTTATTTTATCAAATGCTTAGTTTGTTCGTTAGTGCTTAGGTTGTACAGATTCAAATAGAGGTCGTAGGTTTTGAGTCCTAGGTTGGATTAGAAGAATACATAGGGTTCTTGTTGAGATTGTATTAGTAATAGTTTAGAGTCGGATCGATGGCGTCGCTCCAATGTAACGAAATGAAAGAAATATGTATAGCCATAAGTAGGTCTTGCCAATTGATATGAAAAATTATATTTCTGATTGTTTTCATCTGAGATAACACAAATGATATTACTGAGCTCGCTTGTGCTGTACTTCGTAATACATACATAAATATTTACAATTTATATATGAATAAAAAAATATAGTATATATAAATAAAATGGTAATTTTGTCTTTTACAATACAGAGTGGAGAAGAAGAGGAACGTGCCTACTGGGAAGGTGCAGACTGGTGGCGTGGACCACACCATCATCATCACCATGTAAGTGTTTGTATCATGTTGATGTTCTAATGTTAAAATTGCCAATTTTAATTAAGTCAAATAGTGTTTGAATAATTCTCATTTTAACTTTCAGGGTACAGGAATACCTATTGCTAGATTTTAAATAATGTTCAGGTGTTTAACTTCTGACAATTATTTAAAAACTGCTATATAAATAGGGGAATTTTTAGAACGTGAAAGTTTTGTCGCCGCTCATGGTGACGCTCCTTGATAATGATAAGATCGATTTCAAGCCGATTTTGATATACATAGTATAATAATTAATATATCATTTTACACATAAAAAATAAAGACCACACAATGATCTATAATTCTGTTAAAATTTGTTCTTCAGATCTGTCTTATAATAATAATAGTTTATTTCGGACAAGAAGTCCATAAAAATGACAAAGTTTATTTCTTTCAGATATATGTTTGTTTTGCTTAAAAATAATAGGAAGACTATTTGTATAATGTACATAATATATAGTTGTAACGTGTTGGTGTGCAGGGCATGGGCATGGGGTACGGGCCCGTGGGGCGGCGGCCGGAGACGTCGGACGACCGCCACGTGCTGGCCAAGCACGCCGACATCTACCCCGCTGAGCAGCAGCTGCAGGACATCCAGCGCGCCGTGTCGCACACCGAGCGCGCGCTCAAGTCGCTCTCCGACGCGCTCGCCGACCACGCCCGCCCAAAGGTCACATCCCTTCATAATCTAATCTTACAATAATATTGGTATAATTAAGTATATTCGATGGTAAGCATATTCGAATGAATTTCGACCTTCCGCCATTAAATTTTTTTCTATACTTGTAATGTAAACGTAAACTTATATATATAAGGCCACATCTTAGCTCACTCTTACACATATTATTAATATTTAATGTATTATATTTATATATTATTAATATTATATAAGTTGTGCTCTATCCCATACATACTAGTTTCATTTTGCGCCGCTACTTAAATAAATATATAAAAGCAACGGAGGTGGCTAATGTTTGCTTTCTAATAAAAATATTCCAACCTCTTTGTTTTATTTATTTTTTGAAATGAAATTTTTTTTGCAGGGTGTTCCAACTAAAGTTGTAGTTAAAACTGAAGAGAAGAAAGAAGAAAAACCTGAAGGAAAGGAAGATGGCCGCGATAATCAATTGTAAGTTATTTAATACAATTCATTGACTGTAATTGTCTCAGTACTGTAATTTGTAATTGGCTCAGTTTGTAGTGACCCTACTTGCTGCGCCAGCGGTCACGGGTTCGAGTCCCGCTGGGGGCATTCATTTGTGTGATGAGCATGAATGTTTTTACTCCAATCATGGGTGTTTATATTTATAATATGTATGTATTTAAAAGTTATATATGTATAATGTATCAACTATCTGGTATCCATAACACAAGCCTAGTAGCTTATCATGGAACTAGATGGTGTTGTGTGTTAATGTCCTGACATATTTATATTATTTATTTTCCCCCTAGTAAAACTTATAGAAACACTTACTATTACGAACATTGCATGGCAGGTTCTCGTTCGTGGCCGAGGGCGAGGCGGCCCCGGCGGCGGCGGCGGGCGCGGGCGCGGGCGGCGCGGCGGGCGCTGGCGCGGCGGCGGGCGAGGCGGCGACGGCGGCGGGCGGCGCGCGCGCGCTCAAGGGCGTGATGCGCGTGGGGCTGCTGGCCAAGGGGCTGCTGCTGCGCGGCGACCGCGACGTGCGCCTCGTCGTGCTCTGCCACGACCGCCCCACCGTCACGCTGCTCAAGCGCGTGGCCGCAGACCTGCCCGCGCATCTCAATAAAGTCAAGGTCACTGCTATACCTATTACAATCTTGTCAAACGCCTTGCCTTGCCTAGTAAAAAGTGCTACTTAAAGATACTTAAATTATAGTCATTTTAAATCCTTTTTGGAAAATGACATCTATAAACGCCAGAAAAATGCACGAGCATTATTTTTTATACAGCATTTTTTGATATTTTTTTTTCAGTATCTTGTAATTAGTCTAACTATAAACAGATGTGTTAAATAAAATAAAACTAATTATTTTAAAAATATATTTGTATATAACTTATATAAAATATGTATGTAGGGCTCGACGGAGGAGCCGAAGTATAAAGTGGAGCTGCTGCCGGCGGAGGGCGCCGTGCAGGTGTCGGACAGCGGCGTCAACGTGCTGGTGTCGCTGACGTCGGCCGTGATGCGCGAGCCCGCGGGTGAGTGCCGCCGCCCGCGCCCCGCGCCCGCGCCGCCCGCGATGTTCGACAACTGTTTCACGCGATCCGCGTCATATTGTACTTGTCGAAAGTTCCTTTGCGATGTTCGGGCTTGCCGTGGTGTATGTTTTGTGTATCTGCGAATCTTGTACAGTCAATATTGTTCAAGTCGCGGATAGTAGTTTTTAGTTTTACCTATATGTAATGCTTTTGACTTACAAATGTTGTGTTAAATTTATAACGGTAAATTGTAAAGTGATAAGTTTATACGTTGAAGTTGTCGTATCACTATGTTTGAATTGTCGCATAATGTTAATTTCTAAAGTCAGTACAACCCAATGATACTGTGCCCGAACATTCCGAAAACTTTTCTTAACAAAGTGTTTATCTCCCATACGATTTCAGTGCATTACTAATATTAACGTTGCATTCCTGTTGAAGTGTCTCTGAAATCGGTTGTCGAAATCGTTCCCTCCGACCCTCTCTCAGAACAAACTATCTATTATATTATAGTCTTTAATTTGTTTGTATATCTTTGTATTTATATTTAATGCTGTTATTATAACAAGAGATAATTTGTTCAAGTGACGCCCGCCGGGCAATGTGTTGAATGCTTATTTTTAGGTGTGAGTAGGGTAAGCAGCGAGAAGAAAAGGATTTTTGATCATCCGTATATCACGTGCGTTGGCCTCCGCAGTGGTATATCGATCTACTGAAACGGAGCAAACATCGCCACCCCTATTCTGTACTCATATATACTGTCTCCACCTGTCGACCTGGCTAGGAAAATTTCTCGTATATGTTTAGTGTATCTGTGATAGACGCAGTGCGAGGCTTGCGATAGTACGCACGTCTGTGCGAGTGGGCGCTGTATCGGGCGCCAATTGCGAAAAATAACTGTTTGTATGTTTTTGAAGAGCCAACATATTCCTTTATGTGGTTCGATTAGCACAGTTTCTCCCATCTTGAAAGTAGTAGAATGAAAGTGAAGTAGACGAGATAGTAGGAATATGTAATAGCAAAGTACAGTCGTGCGTACAGCGCGAGCCCGCGGATGTTTGCCCCGTTTTCGTGATGCGTCGATGGTCAAACACCCTTTGTATTGTCGCTAGAGGGTGGCGACATAAAGCGAGACGACAAGGATGTGCTCCCGCGGCAGAAGTGTTTGGACGCGTTGGCCGCCCTTCGGCACGCCAAGTGGTTCCAGGTACATTCGCCCACATCTAGACGTGTGCGCACTCCCCGCTCCCCCCACTGTCCGCCACCTCACAACACACTTAACAGCATTGATTCGTTGATGGAGGTTTTACTTGTATTGCCATAAAAAAAGAATTAACAAAATTAAATTAAAATGTAATGTTTCTCTTAGTGTAACCATGTTGAAAATCAATGAGGGAGTGCGCACGTATTTTTTAGTCACATGTTTATTTTTGTTTTATCATTCCGAGTAGCCTTTGTTTTAGTTAAAATTTTGCTATATTAAAGTTCCGCTCCCTTGAACATGTGGCTACAAGTGCTCGTAGAGCGAGGCCGCGGCCCCGGCGCCGAGCTTCTGGGGTGAAGATGGCGTAGCTGGGTTTGAATATTGAAACGAAAAAAATATAAATGCTTCAATGCTTGATTAAAAGAAAAATATATAGCAATTTAAAAAAATGTATATGAATTGTGATGGACCAAATTGGGTAGATTCGATCGATTAACTAGTGGTATTATAATATAAATAAACATGTATCCAGAACTTGATGGTTGTCACATATTTTAAACGAGGTTTTTATTAAATTTAAATGATAAAAAATAGGTGATTACTTAACTTCTGCGTATTTGGACTCGAACTCATAACCGCGAGTCTACTCGAGCTTGGAGCGTGGTCCATCACGGAGGAGACCCTCCCGCCTCCCCAGCTACGCCGCGTCGCGGGCGCGGCCGGCCCTCACGTGTGAAGCGGCTTTACTGGGCCTGTCGACTCGATAGGGCTTTGCTACTTTACTATAAACTATTTAAAGAAGACAGTTTTATATAGAAATAATCATGTATGTATGTCATTTTAAGTTTTGGCCTTTGTGAAACATCCGAAATTAGTAATTAATAAAAAAAAGTAGAAGTAAAGAAAAGAGGTAAATATGTGGGCCGCGCGAGTCGACAAGCCCATACCAATGATAAGAGAGTGGTGTAGTATAGCGAGACTAAGACGGTTGTGGGTGGTCGGTGCGCAGGCTAGGGCGGCCAGCCTGCAGTCCTGCGTCATCATCATCCGCATCCTGCGCGACCTGTGCCGCCGGATACCCAACTGGACGCCGCTCGACCCATACGTGAGTGTTGTCTGCCGTGCTGCAGTAAAATATTTATTGGATATATATAATGCATATACATTAAAATTCCATAAACCAACTTGGTTTTGCTTTTTCAATATTATGTACAAGATTATTATCAATAGTAGAACGAAACATATTACTGTATTTAACAGATTTTTATGGTTTAAGCAAAACTATGATAAATGAACTCATATATGGGAGAGCCTATTAATTTATTAAATATATTGAATATTTAAAAATTCCGAGTTTCTTGTCTGTTCTTCTCAGCAAAAATGCATTTATATATTACAAATTAGTAGTAACTTCTTTACACGCAAACTTTCTATTCAGTTGCTCCTAAGAGTGTAAAATTGAGCATATTTAATATTTTGATGTGTGTGTATGGTATATTGGTATGATGTCGCAGGCGATGGAGCTGCTCGCGTCGGGCGTGATGCAGTCGGCGGGCGGCGCGCTGTCGCCGGGCGAGGCGCTGCGCCGCGTCATGGAGGCCGTGGCGGGCGGCCTGCTGCTGGACTCGGGGCCCGGCCTGCGCGACCCCTGCGAGAAGGACCTCGTGGTGAGTACACGACACGACCCGTTGCATTGTTGACTGATGATGACTGATGATTGTATGTAAATATACATAGATAACTTTGGACTTTTTATTATATGAATTGAGTAGAAAATAAATATTATTTTGTCAGTGAAATAAAATTCCTTGATTGACTAGATAAATATTGTAAATATAGCAAAAATTAGTCATCATAATTAGTTAGCTTTTAAGCAAAATCGGCAAAGTCCATAGTATAATAATTGAGTTATGAATTTTGTATTTTTTTTTCAGGACGCCCTCGGCAACTTGCCACCTCAGAAACGTGAAGATTTAACCGCATCGGCGCAGCAATTTCTCAGACAGATTGCCTTTAGACAGATACACAAAGTATGTAACTGCGAAACACATTTTTATGCAATTCTAAATACTAAATTTGTTCTATTCATTAAAATATTACTATTTTAAATTTTTACATAACTATAGCTCAATTATGTAAAAAATCAAATAAAACTGATATGATATTTTCGTATAGGTATTGGACATGGAGCCCCTGCCGAAGGTAAAGCACGTGGCCGGCAGCTGGAAGTTCCCGCGCAAGCGCAGGCGCTCCAACACCGACCACGACCCCGACACGCCCAACGGTATGTGACAATCTTACATTTCACTTTATGTACCGTGTTTTGTTTAGATTGCATTATGAATAGTTTTTTCTTATTCTTTTTTTATGATTTATTTAATTTAATCTAGAACAGTGTTGGTCCACTTCGACAATTCGTATTCTCAGCATGCAGCAGTTTATTATATTTACCTAATCACACGAATCTACACGAATCCAGTTTTGCGTAAACAAAACTTTTAAAATAAAATTGCTAATTAAAATAATTAATAAACTATTAATTTCTTAATTTAAATTTAATGTGTAATAGTGTCTTTTTTACGTAATAAGTAAATATGTAGTGACATTAACACACAGGCACCATCTAGTTCCATGGTAAGCTACGAGGCTTGTATTATGGATATTAAATACATACATATTATATATATATAAACACTACAACTGGAGTACTAACATTCGTGCCCAGCCGGACTCGAACCCGCGACCGCTGGCACAACAACTAGGGTCACTACAAATTGAGTCAAAGGTGTTGTCAAGTATAATATTTAATTCTGTTAAAATATTTATGTATATAATACTAATGTCTGTTATTTATAACGCAGGCGAAGGTAAAGTGGTGAAGACGGAAGAGAAGAGCGACGCGTCGGAGACGCTGGCGACGCCCGCCAAGAAGTAACACTAGGCCCCCCGACACGCGCCCCGGTCTGATTCAAAAAGTTATACCGAGTGGGGGCGAGCAACGAAAACGTTATTAAAGACTATCGATACTGTTTCCAAAAAGTTATTTTCTATGGTATACTATATATTTGTATCAGTTTTACGTGAACACAACGCAATAGCTACCGTAGCTGGTGTCCGCGCGCGCTGCGGATATATTTTGTGTACCGCATTATTTGTCACGTGTAAAATATTATTTTTGTGACGTCGATCGATCTGTCCAGAACTAATGCTAATTATAGTCGGCGTCGGGCTTGCGGCGCTCCTCTCTCGTAGCTCGAGTCGCAGTCGAGGGACGCGAATCGGATACGTGTTAGTGGTTCGGGGTTTGACTGAGAAAAATTAAATATTTTTGAACAGTTTTTGTCTTGATATATTTGTTTTAGATATGGATAAGGTACAAACTAATTGTATAAAAACTTAACCAATGTCGAAATCTAATTTAATTTATAAAATTCAAAATTTTTGTATCATTTTAAATTGCTAATTTATTTCATATTTGATGGAATATAGAGGGGTGTAGTGTAAGGAGAAAGCATAGTGAGTGATATGTGAGTGATGCAAGCCCGGCGCCAGTAGTAGTATATTGACTAGATAGCGATAGGATACATCTATAATATAATTAGTGTAATTATTGTAAGGTTTGACAGGGAATGAGAAAGGTTCAGAAGGTACAGTTGTTACGCAGTTGGACATATTTCTAAGGATTTTTTTCATATTTTTAGGGTCACAGTATTTGACTTTAGATTATTAGTTCCTTTATCGACGAATTGACGTCATATATTAATTTTAATAACATTTTGACTGTGTTAAGTTGTAATGCATAAATACAATGGAGGATTGCGAGCCGACAGTCGCGGCGACGTCGGCTCGGCGGTGTCTTGTCATATTGTTCGTGTTATTCGAAGCGAATATTGGTGTGATGTTATTTATTAGGTGGGTTTCTATAGCGCATAGAGCCGTGTGCTGGTGTGGAGACAGCATTATGTAACTTTCATCTTTGTTTTCCTAATAAGGAAGTTCGTTTTTATATTTATCGTATGAGACAAACACTTTGAATATTAATGTCAATAAACAATTTAAACTGGAAACTTTTTTTATTTCGTAATCTATACATATAATAAGATTCTAAGTCAAATCTGTACATTGATAAATTTTTTTAGAAAATCTTATTGAAATAGACATTATTATCGATACAGAGGCCGAATTTATAGTTTTTAGTATTTTTGTCTGTCTGTCTGTTACCGCATCACAGAAAAACTACTGGACGGATTTTGATGAAATTTGCTATGGTCAATATCCGGGTCAACATATAGGATACTTTTTACCGCAGAAAAATATCTCATTTCTGAGAAAAAATACAAAAAATGGTGGAGAATAAAAAAACGCTGATACTATATAGATTTTAGCAAGTAAACTTAAATATGTTAAAAACTATTAAAAATAGCTAATCTTGAAAAAGTATATTAATAGCACTATTTTATTCATAAAAAAAGTTATTTTAATGAATATTTATTTTTGTTTTATTATTTATGTCCCTACGTGTCTTTAAAATACGTAGTTTTAATTCCAAAAAATTGAATGTACAAATTCGACCTTTCTATGATTTTATTAGAATTACTACTAAATTACCCGCGGCCCCGCGGCTTTATAAATTAGTTACATCTATAGATACATTAAAATTTAATGAAGCAGTATCTGTGCTTTAAATATTTTTTGGAATTTTTTTTATTGAAATACACATTATTATCGCTAAAAGAGGCCGAGGCTATATTTTAAAGATTTTTTGTCTGTCTCTGTGACCGCATCACAGAAAAATCACTGGAGGGATTTTGAAGAAATTTGGTATGGTAAAACCTAGTTATCCGGGTCAACTAATATACTAATACGAGTATACTAATAAATAAAACCTAAGAATTTGGTTTTGGTCATGTGAACGCGGGCGGAGCCGCGAGCAATGCTAGTCATTCTAATATTTGTTTAACAAAATAAATAAATATGTGAGGACATTAACACACAACGCCGTCTAGTAGTCCATGGTAAGCTACGAGGCTTGTGCTATGGATACCAGATAGTTGATACATTATACATATATAACTTTAAATATATATATATATTATAAATATAAACACCCATGATTGGAGTACAAACATTCGTGCTCATCACACAAACGAATGCCCCCAGCGGGACTCGAACCCGCGACCGCTGGCACAGCAAATACGATCACTACCAACTGAGCCAAACATGTCGTCTACTGTTTCAAATTATTTTTAACCCGGCGCTAATGACGTAAAAATAATTACGAGTACAGTGAAACCGGTTCGTAATGAACCTAGATTTTATTAGTGAATTTTCAAAGTGGAAGAAGTTGCTTTAATTTTAATAAATGTTTATCAAATAATGGCCACTTTAACAAAATGAAAATAATAAAATTATCAATACATTATATAAACCAAACTTATTTGCTTGTCCGATAACATATATTAAGTACAATCAAAGAAAAAACGACATGAGCATTTTATTGATTTTTGGTAAAGTATTTCTAAGTAATAATAGGAGTCCGATCTTATGTCCACGAAAGGGTCACATGAACTTCTTTTCATAAAAATAATAAGATATCTGATATATATTCCTCATTCAAAAACATGCAATTATTCTAGTATGGAATCATTGGCGTGTCGATTTGTTATCGAAGCATAGACTTCTTGGTTTAAAATAAATTCGTTGAATTAGTTTACTAGGCCTGAACATTTTACCCCCATAGTATACAGGCCACAAATCATTCTAACTCCGGCTGTTAGAGCAAAAAAATGCAAAATTTCAGTCTTATGAGTACTTTCAATTTCACTCACATATCTTTGTTTACTCAATCTGATCAGTCTCTTCTTTCTTGTATATAGGATAGATTTTTGAGACGAGACAGTAAGGGCAGGTACCTTTTAACTGCTTTAGTTACAGGAAAACGTTCCTAGGAGACCATCCATAACTTTTTGAGATATTCTGAACTGCATTCACAGATTTTGAAAAAAATGTACAGTCAGCGAAAAAATGCTTAAATACCTAAAAAAATTTTTTATGTCAATCTATTCTATTTCATGTAGGGATCAAAACTATGGGACCATTTAAGATATAAGTACAGGAAATTACAGAAATCGCCGAAAAAAAATTCTATACATTGTGTACGGAAAAACGATTAACGAAGGAATGATCTCGAAATATTCTTTGTTGTCAAACAAACGGTCCTATTTCTTAATGTGAGGCCAAATTGAGTTTGAGTACAGAAACTACGGTAAGTTACAAAACCGGGTTTAGACTCATTCATTTTATGCAGCGTTTATTTTCAGTTTTTGTAAAGCCGGTCCCGTGGCATACTGTACCTAGTTAGACGCTAAAGTACCTACTTATATTTTCTGCTACTGAGTTTAAAATATTTATGATCAGAATTACTTGACACTTGGTATTAATGCTCTTCAATACAAGTAAATAAATACGTGTTTTAGCATTTTTCTAAAGTCATCCCATAAGAGGGTAAAGTAGGGGATGAAAGTTTATATGAAACTTACATCTTAGTTGTTTTTTTTGTAGTTTTTACGGGAGCGAAACCGCGAGTTTTAGTAGATGTCTAAATCTAACCAATCAGTGACCGTTTCACAATTTAACGGCTTTTATTATCTAGTGAAATTGTCAAAATTTCATTGGTTCACAATATCACTGAAGTGCTTAGGGAAATTATAATTTACCTAAAAATGTCCCGTGTTATTTTAAGAAGACGATTGACAATACTTTGGGTAACAATTTCACAGTCTTTACACTTACAGATTCCCTGCAACATATACACACACCTCACAAACTTTTGTATTTATAATAACGTAATCCGATTAATAAATAAATAACAACAGCGTGGGCAGTTTGTATATAATTTATTGTTTATCCATTACAATAATTTTTGTACATGATGTTTGTGTTCAACTAAATAAAATGCAATACACAAATTTAAAAAAAAAACACTTTTTTACAAATACTCTTCCAAAGTAATAAAAATACAACCGATTATTTACATCATATATTCAAGACTAAAATTTTGTAAACACTATACAAAAAAAAAAGATTTCAAACTGGCTAAGTGATTTTACAGCTAATAAATTTCTTCAATGTTCTACTGTTACAGGTCACATTGCATTTTATTTGTTTGAACGACAAACGGTAATTAAAGTTACATTTAATTTCAACAAGGTTTGTTGCATGTTTTCACACAAATGAAAACTTGCAAGAATTATTTATCGAGTTACAATTCTATATCGAGATCTGCCTAACAAATGCACACCAACCTGGCAGTGATTGCGTCAATCCCTAGTTATATATTACTTTGATATACAATTTGGTTAAACAATATTAAAATTTAAAATAAAGCACAATTTAGGGATCTCTGAATGCAATACATGGAATATAAGGAAAAATAAAATTTGGAAAATGCATGTAATGGTTGAAAGGTTTTAAATTTTTCAATACAAGTTATTGGTGGAACAGTGGTGATGTTGAGTTTATAACAGATTGTTCTAACGCTACACCGTTGGTTTTATAATAATTCTGACGATTCAAATGATTATATCAGAACTTAGTGCAGCGCGGGAACAGCAATTTTATTTTCAAAAAACATGCATGATATTTAGACAATAGTGAAAAGTCAAAGTAAATTTTTTTCGTTTTTTTTTTATTGTGTATATATATTTTTTTGTATTTTTTTTTGGATTTTTATTTTTTTTATATTTTTATTTTTATATGTTATATATAATTTTCACTTTGTTCTTTTTTTTTGTTTTTTCTTTTAAATAAACAACCTTTGAGACAATATAATACATATATAAACAGTTTTCTTATAGATTATTCATTTTAAAATTATTTATTGTACTGTAACATTCAGCGTGGCAAAGTGCCTCTTTAAGTAAAACCGATATAAAACTTATTATAACAACACTTAAATCGCCGGCGAGAACTGTCCAATGCAAATGGTTGAAGTATATTATACGGGCTGCAAAATAATGAGATTTCATTTAAAAAGTAAATTATTGGGAGCAACATAAAAAAAATAAAATATATGGGGAATAATTAAAAACAAATTTATATGACTTTGAAATTAATATTATAAAACAAATATAAATTTAATAAAAACAGAACAATAAAATTGGTTCATAAAATATTTCATCTCGTAACAGTGCCTCCTGGGCAGAGTTCACAGCGGACGTGGTCGGTGCACATTTAACAACATTAGAGATTTCCTATATGCTAAGATAACAATTGTACAATCCTTCGTTTATTTTAAAGATATGCTCTCTTATATTTAACCTCGATATAGGAATCCCGAGGTGGAAGCTGTGTGGCTACCAGACATTAAGTTGATGGTTCTTTGTTAAAATTTAATTATGTGTTGAATTTTGACAACATTATTGATGGAAAATAAAAATAATGGTCTAACCATGATAACTAAGATATAAAACAGACATTGTACGTTTATTATGCAGTAAAATGTTCCGAGAGTCTCGAACAACCCGGCCTGGTCTTGCCGCTAGCATAGTTAAGCACCGCTTAGCTTCTTACATATAAGGCAACACAACTTAGCACCATCACTTAGAACTCTCACTCTAACTCAACAACAAGTAGCACCTTACAATGTTAACAATAATTTAACAATTCATCTTTGCAACAGTGAGTGTACATGACATAATATGTGAAATGGAATGTCGGTTTATTTCATAAAAGCTCCAAAACTCTATCCGAACAGTCCCGTATAACGCCTTCGAGACCGTTGCACCGCCAAGCTTCAAAAATTATACAAATTCAAAGATTTTTTTTGTCATTTATTCTTTACAATGCTTGTATATATACATAAAACCCTCCGTCTTCCGTATGTACAGTTAAACAACTTATAAATAAACAATATAAATATTAATAAAAACGAAGGACGCATCGAGGCAGCACCGCGTATATTCCGCTATATACTTGTATATAAGTCACCGGGAAATGCTTTAAGTCCAACGTATGTACTAAATAAGTCGTCTTCCATCATTCGCTTCGACCCGAGCACGCATCGCAATGGCCGGCGCTCGAATTGCAATTCTAAACGCATTAAATAACAACGCGTAAAATCCTACATGTTTTTTCAATATGAAATTATTTTTCATAGTATTTAAATTGTGTTTTAATTATTTGTATCAACATCACTATGGGCTTGTAACATATGTTCATAGTGGCATTGTTTAAATAAATATTTTAAGTTAGGCTACTAGTGGATATAGCTAGGTTAGGAACTATATTATGACAAACTTAAACACTAGACGTTATCGTGACCATTACCGCTAATTTTTCATTCTAAATATATATTTTTTGGTTATTTTCGAGCCCCATACCTTAAGAAAACTCTTGCTATTTACATAATATTTGGTCATCAGTGACGAGGTGTTTATATACAACAAGTATGCTACAGAATCGCCCAAGGTATGGAACCCCTTGTGGACAAAGCAACATCGCAATTATCCATATTTCCATACTTAGAATGTAATTTAGCTGCAGTGATGTTTATTGTCTCCACAAGGTATTCCGAGACTTCGTTAAACATCTGAGTACTATAACTAGACTTAAAGGAATCAGTCGCATATCACAGCCCGTGAGGTTAAATATGGCTCTATTTTGGACTGTATCCTATATACAATATAAATCTTTTTAAAAATATAATTCGAACATTATTTTAGTACTTATTGCGTCGTTACTGGCGCGTCGCCTATTTACATAGTTCGATGCAGTAAGCACCAGTCTAGCTACATATATACAGCGTGTGGTCGTAACAATGGCACAAGTAATTTGGACTTTACTTTGGTTCGGACACGACATTTGCGCACAACACCTTTGAGAACATACTGTATAGTCTTAAAGCCTAGTTTAGACTAAGACACTATACACGGTACACTCAAGTGTATACAGCGAGTGTCTCTGTGTGAACGCGAATGTCTCTAATTGTGAAATTTATTGCGACACGAAAATTAGTGCCTTATCAGCGGCTGTGTGAACACGTTGTCTCGTATAGTTGAAAAGTTTTTAACTGGTTCAACATTTTCAATACACCGCACCGCGCAGAAGAAAGCACTTAAAAAATGAGTTTCACGTGGAACAATGTGATCAGCTCGGACACGATTTTCGTACACTTATATACAGACACTACTCGGACACAAAAATTTCGTAAGAGTGAACAGTACAGAAATTAATGTCTGACATGTCGCAATTTGTGTCGTAGCCTAAACTTAGTTTAACAGCACAGAGAACAATTTCAAACAAGTGTCAAGTGTGAGTGACGGCGCGGACTTCACTTCGGTTCGGACACGATATTTGCGCAGAGCAACACTTCTGAGAACACACCGTATAGTCTTAACAGCACAGCACAGGGAACACACAAGTGTTCAAACAAATGTCAAGTGCGAGTGTGGGCCGGCCACAAGTGTGAGTGCGAGTGTGCATCATCGCCGCGGCCAGGCGTCCGCGAGGCGCAGGCCGGCCGCCAGCCGCGCGTAGCTGCTGCGGAACGTGCTCACGATGGTCTCGAACGTCTCCGGGTCGTACACGGAGCGGGCCGTGTTCGTTAGGTCGAAAGGCTCTGCAAATGAACAAAAAAATAAACAAAATGTATGTTATTCGAGTTTAATGTATTGATTAATGGGTGATTAGATTTCCCTAGTGATTGTTTTTAGAGCTTAACGATAATAATTCTGTTTATTTTATCATGTGTGGACATTTGATCAATTTAAAAAAAAATATATTTCGCATTTACGTTACAGTTGTTGAAATACATTTATTTTCATTCATAAACTATAAAAATAATACATCGTTCAGATATTTTTCTCAGCGGGCAAAATAAGACACTTTAAAGGAAATGAAAGAAAAATTTATCATTTTTTTGCTCTCCATAGTTTAATGAGATTTGATGAGATTTTCTGGACCCTCCACCCCATTTGAGTTCAAGTTATTAATGGAGGTATTGAGTAGTGTTCTCGTACAAGGGCAGTACAGACTCACCTTCCACGCAGAGCAGCTTCCAGTGCGAGGGCTCTGCACGCGCGCGGCACTCCCACAGCGGCACGCGCCGCGCCGCGCGCACCGACACCGCCATCTGCCCGTACCTGCCGTGCACACGGGATCATATTATCTACAAGCAACTTAATTTTTCTTAATCAAAAGTAGCCTAAGTTACTCCTTATAACATCAGCTATCTGCCAGTTAAAGTCCTGTCAAAAGTGGTCCAGCCGTTTTGGAGATTAGCCAGAACAGACAGACGGACCGACAGACAAAAAATTTAAAAATAGTTTTTTTCTTATTAGTAACGTATATACTTTCATATGTATGTATTTAGTAAAAATATTGCTCATGGAGGATATTCTGTAGATTTAGCAATTTTTTTATTACATTGCTACTGGTATTTCTTCTATTTTATAGTTCCTATATAACTAATGAGTTCTAGCATTTATGGTTCCATAACAAAATGATAGTTTTATTTCATACAAATGTGATATCATCTAAATTAACATTATGTACTCATTTTCTTGCAATTTTTTTTCTATTTGTCGTTTCGAAAGCTATTGTAATGGCTCGTCATTATACAGTCTGGGCCTCAACTAAGACAAACAAACTGATGCACAAAAAAGAAAGATAAAAAGTAAACGCGGCAATACTAACGGGAACTCCGCATAATACTTGAGCATCTGCAGGAAGAGCTCGCCGAGCGTGGCGCGGTTGTGCGGGCGCGGCGCGTGGGCGGCGGGCGGCGCGTGCGGCGGCGCGGGCGGCAGCACGGGCGGCGCGGCGCCGCACTGCAGGAAGTGCAGCACCATGAGCGTGAGCGCGTACGAGGACAGCGTGCGGCGGCGCGCGTCGTTGATGCGGTGCGCGCGCGCCCACAGCTTCGCTATCGCCACCAGCGGCCGCACGCGCCAGTCCACTGCGGGGGGAACACACACACATACATACACATGTTACAATTAGCATACTATTATGCTATTAAATTTTAAGCTATTGCATAGCTTCTATCGCGGGCCTTGAGCGTGGGGACCGAATCCAGAAATTCTGTAACGAAAAAAACCTAACACCCCCCACTCCGACCGGCACAGCGGTGATACTTTTTTCCATCTATCGATAAATACCAGAACTTTTAATGATTTTTTGAAATATCACGCTTGTCTCTTTAGTTCAGCAACCCGCCTTTAGGTGGCATTGGTTGTATTGGAAAACTACCGTAATCAGCTGTTTGTGAGAAAGTATATAGGTGTATAGGTATTTATCATCTATGTACAACAGTGAATACTCGTATAATTTGTGTACAAAGTGTTTTAAATATGAATAAACAAAGTGCATTTATTAATGAAGAAAGTCACGAAAAAATAGTGAAAGAAAATGAGTTAGTACTCTATATACATTCATTTTATTATTATTATCACAAATGCAGTATTATTTTTTGTTTTGTTAATTTATATATAATACTTCTATCAAGATAACCAAAATTTTTGATATTAAAATAAGCTTGCATAAGGTGATAAAAAATGCTATGCAATAGCTTTACAACCGCCGGTCTCCGAGTGCCACATTTTTTTTTTTATATGTTGGGACATTAACACACAACACCGTCCAGTCATATACTAATATTATTCCACTAGCAACTCACCCTGGCTTCGCTCAGGTTCGTCCCTAGTTACGTTTTAACATTTATTAGTAACATTCCTCAGAGATGAGATATTTTCTCGCAGTAAAAAGTATCCTATATGTTGACCCGGATAACCAGCTATCATCAACCAAATTTCATCAAAATCCCTCCAGTGGTTTATTCGTGATGCGGTCACAGACAGAAAGAACTCTGTAAAAACTATATATTCATCCTCTGTATCGATAATAATGACTATTTCAATAAGATTTTCGAAAAATATTTAATATATAGATTCAACTCGGAATTATGTATATATATGGTAAACCAAAGTATAATACTTGTATAATAAACAATAAGATATGCTAAAAGAGGGCACTGAGTTTGGAAGTTTTTTTTTATTTAGGTAAATATTTTTGTGAAATTTTACTTCCCTTAATATTTTTAAAAAGTCCATCGGTATTGTGTACATGCTGAAGCTCATTGAGGAAAAGCTTGTACAGAGTGCATGATCGCCTGGTACTTTTGGTGTAGTGCTCATTGTAAAGCCCCGTAAAAAGAATACAATATACACACGATTCCTTAACACTTATGCTAGCTTGGTATTTGTGATGACGTCATATGCCCCATGGGGGTGCTCTTAGTTGTATAACGTGTCGTGACGGTCGAAATATTACACGTGTGCCGTATATAACGTGCGACAAAGAACTTCATTTCAATAAAGCAGCAGTAGAAACTAACTTCTGGAGTAGCAGTACAGCAGGTTGGTGTTGCGGATGCCGACCACGTTGTTGCAGTTGAGGTCCACCTGCAGGCCGTTGCGCTCGTCGCGGAACTTCAGGATCGGCACCTTCGCCTGGATCACCTCTGCGCCTGGAATATGCAACACAATTATAAATAAACAATATTTAAATCGAATTTAATTATTATTTATTTATACATATTTTATCACTACGAAATTTGACAAAAAATCATTTACGCATACCATCTGCATACATATATACAGGTGGTTATGTGGAACTCATGGCTAGAGAAGCCAGGACCGCTTAAATCCAACGGAACCTCCCCCACCTAACGCTTAATCATGACAATAATCAGGTTAGGCCCGATTTCACTGTACTGTACCACGCTACCACTTAAACGGTGCCTCAGTAAAAGCACTCACGTTCCACAATTTGCAAGGGTTCTTAATATTCTTGATTAACATTTAAGACTTGCAAGAAATTTGCAAGAAATTTAAAAATACTGTAGCCACAAATATTGTATGTGTACATAATACACATGCATTTAACGATTTTATATTTTTGATAAGACCTTTTTTTTAATAGCCCGTTTATTATAAATTACTTTTTTGACAGATTTTGATAAAAAGGTTAAAAGAGCGTGATATTAAAAAGGCGTACAATTATACCCACGATTTTTTTTCTATTTCAATAAGATTAAAATAATCTAGTATTGCTGTAACGGCCTTAACACAAAAAGCATTATCAATATAACATTTTAAGAACAAATGGAGGATAGTAACCTGGGTCGAAGCTCTTGATGTATGCGAGTATGTAGTTCAGGTGCAGCAGCGCGTGCGCGCGCGGCTCCAGGCCCGCCAGCGCGCGCACGTACAGGCACAGGTCCATGTCCGACGCGTCCAGCCCGAAGCCCGACATGGTGGAGCCCACCACGTACAGCCCGTAGCGCGGGAATATCGACTGTCGCGCGACGGGAATACGGATCATTATACATTACTACTGCCGCGTTGCCATTACGGTATTATCTATACTATACTATAATAAAACAGTAGAGGTCCAATGTCTTTACATAGCAAAAAAATGCTAAAAACCGAGTCAGGGGGATTTAAGAAGACAAATAGAACAAATCCAGATTTTTTTCAATTTTTTTTCTGTCTGTTTGTCTGTTTGTACGGGCTAATCTCCGAATCTATTGGACCGATTTAAATGGAATTTTGCATGGTGTTACCTTATATCCTCGGTCAACATGTAAGATACTTTTCATTCCGGAAAATTAAAGAGTTCCCATGGGGATAGTTAAAGAACTACAGTACCTAATTTAGTAAAATTTGGCATGCTGATACCTTATATTGGCGGTCAAACAACATGTTACTTTTCATCCCGGAAAAATGAACGGTTTCCTTGGGATAAATCTGTTTTTGTTTGTTTGTGACGTATTATGTACACAATATAGACCCCAGAACAATAGTTATTAAAAAATTGTCTGTTTTTCTGCTTGCCTGTATGTCTGTCAGTTTGTATGTTTGTACGGGCTAATCTCCGAAACTGTTGGACCGATTTAAATGAAATGTTGCATGGTGGTACCTTATATCCCCGGTCAACCTCTTAGATATTTTTCATCCCAGAAAATTAAGGAGTTCCCGTGGGATAGTTAAAAAACTATAGTATCTTATACAGCTTAGTACACAACAATTTATGCACCTAATTTAGTAAAATTTAACATTCTGATACCTTATATTGCCGATCAAACAACAGGTTACTTTTCATCCCTGAAAAATGAACGGTTCCCGTGGGAACTAATGAATGTCTATTAGTATTTTTATAGAGTTGAACCGAGGGAGCGAAGCGAGGGTGAGCCGCTAGTTACAATATATAACAGGTGGAGCCCACCACGTACAGCTCGTAGCGCGGGAAAATCAATCAAAATATGTTGACCCGGATAACCTGCTATCATCATAAGAAATTTCATCAAAATCTGCCCAGTGGTTTTCTCAAGATGCTTTCCCAGACAGACAGACAGTAATTCTAAAAACTATAGATTCGGTCTCTGCATCGATAATAATGACTAATTCAATAAAATTTTCCAAAAAAATATTTAACTTACAGATTCGACTTAGAATTTTATTTTATGTATAGCTAATAGATATAAAATTAGTAGATTACTACCTTTATAGTAACGTAAAGATATCTCCAGAGGTTCATCTTCTTGCGGAAGGTCTCCTCTGTTTGCTGAGACTTCACGAACTTGTCCCAGATCTCTTGAGACAATGTGTCCCACTTTGAACCTGCTCGAGACATCAGAATGATACAAGAGGAAAATTGAAATGATTAAAAAGAACTATTTTCATTCAATACTATTTATGGCGCCCATAGCTTTCTATTCAGACACGACAAATGTTTTATTATGTATGTGTATATTTATTGTTTATATTCTGACATCAATAACTTGCATACTTGATTGCTTAGATATTAGAATGACGCTCTACACGTTGGGCACTAGGTATCTAACTGCCTGATAGTCAAGAAGTAACTGGTTCGAATCAAATATTTATATTCGCAAAATTTTGTCACAGTATGGCTGTCTGTTTTTACAGACAGTCGCTATACCTACGCTAGTATTAAATGTATTAACCAATACAAGGTAGTTTATTTATTCGCAATCAAATAATATCTAAGGACATGTTACAGGATATTAATAGTAAACATTTTGTCAATGGCTAACTTCTAAAAAAGCTTGTGGCAAAGCCCACAGGAGCTGAAGTATGTTTTAGCAATAGAAAAAAAATATATAAACAATAGCATTATCTTGTTAATGAGACACGAAGGAGATTGGTCGGTAAAATAAGATCATTAAAATATAAACAACTAGCATTGCCCGCGGCTCCGCCCGCGTTCAGGTGACCAAAAACTAAATTCTTAGGTTTTACATATTTTATACTCTTACATTGCAGTTTTTGTATTTTTTCTCAGAAATGAAACATTTTCCCACGGTAAAAAGTTTCTATATGTATTCTATATGTTGACCCGGATAACCAGCTATCACCATACCAAATTTCATCAAAATCCCTCTAGTAGTTTTTCTGTGATGCGGTAACAGAGAGACAGACAGACATACAGACAAAAATTCTAAAAACTATAGTTTCGGCCTCTGTATCGATTATAATGTCTAGTTCAATAAGATTTTCCAAAAAATATTTCATGTACAGATTCGGTTTAGTTAGAATTTTATTATATGTATTATAAACAATAAAGCTTACCATTAAGCAGATCGTCCGGCGTGAACTTGACTTGGAAGGGGTACGCGGCGCTGAGGTAGCGCTCGGGCGCGATGCGGTGGTGCCGCTGGCGGGGATCGCGGCGCCCGCGCCCGCGCCACTCGCGCGACGCCGGCGCGCCCGCCGCAGCCCCCGCGCCCACCGCGACTCGCAACCGACTGTTTTCCCCTTAAACACAAAATAAATCTTCTTTACTTATACTAAGTACTAGCTTTAGAATTAGCAGATTGCTTCGAACCAAATTATTTTTTATCCTTTATTTTACTTAAGATTAGCAGAGTTAAATGAGGTTTTATTGTTATATTACCGACTTCTATCATCGTTGCGAGAATATGTATGTTAAGAGATCACGAGCTTTTAAGTATAATAATTTAATCGAGTTCGAGAAGATATAATCCAGTAGTCTTTGCGTGATTCTCGAACAGACAGGTAAAAAATGAAAACATCATTAATTAGGTATCAAGCAAGAGATCCCGCTGTAATACGCTGTAAAAGAATGCTATAAAAATCTAACGTTCTCCTAAGTCTGTAGAGTATCTATAAAATCACCCACCGTCACAAAAGTGGAGTGAAGGATCCCTACACGCCATAACATAACTTTGTAATTATCTTTAAAGCCCATATGTAACACAAAGTTATAATTTTATAATAGGTAGGTGTAGAGATCGATGAGGCCAAATGTGAATATAACATAACAGAAATCTCCTCAATTAACCTATACAGGATTACTATCAAGTTCTTAGAAAATGTAGGGTTGAGTTAGTTTGGACCACTATCCCTCGCAACCTCATTAGCATCCGGCAGTTCAGCCGGGCGCGAAGCCAAGAAACGCACAGGGAGGTGGCCCACTTCGGCGGGCGGTGTACCGTGCGGGTTGCTCCTGGTACTTCTCTGATAGCAGAGTGGACTGTGGAGCAACCCTATGGTTATTGTGGTGTGCTTCGGCAGACCTACCGTCGGGGCGTCGTAGTTGAGTGCGTATCCTGCGACGCCCCATTAAGACGGGGGAAGATTTTGTTGGGTTTTAGTGGGTAGTACTGGCATTTCTAGCCGGTGAGTTTCACATAACCGTCTGTATGTCTATGACCTGTATGTAAATGCATTTCCCAACTTACAAAAAAATCGGACCGTTATAGACGAACTGATCTAAGACCGACCCAGTGCTTTTATCAATGTATCAATCATACAAAAGTTTCTTAAATACTCGTTGGCAATAAAACAAATCAGACTATCGATTGTTATACAAATATTTATCATGGTTTTAGACAAAAGTAGACATTCGATTACCATGTACAATAACAAAATCATTCAACAAGTAGTTTGAATTTTAAAAGATTACGATTTCTTCATATACATATATTATACGATATAATATGCATGTACGTAATATGTATGTATTTAGGACATGCGTCAATACAAATACAGGGCACAGTGTACGCGTAATGACGGGCGTGTTCGTAGTGGCACGGTTTTTAATAATTAGCGTGTTTCAACTTTCAAGGCAGGCGTTATGTCGACATTTGAGAATAGTGACGTTTTTCATACGTAATCTATACATATAATAAAATTGTAACTAAGCCGAATCTGTATATTAAATATTTTTTGGAAAATCTTATTGAAATAAACATTATTATCGATACAGAGGCCGAATCTATAGTTTTTAGAATTTTTGTCTCTCTGTCTGTTACCGCATCACAGAAAAACCACTGGAGGGAGTATGGTGATAGCTGGTTATCCGGGTCAACATATAGGATACTTTTTACCGCGGGAAAATATCTCACTTCTGAGATAAAATACAAAAATTGCAATGTAAGAGTAAATTAATATGTAATACCTAAGAATTTGGTTTTTGGTCATCTGAACGCGGGCGGAGCCGCGGGCAATGCTAGTATGAGATAAGAAAGGAATTTACTGTTCTGTTAATATTAAGTTATCATTAGATTAAGCAAATTTTGGAAAATAATTGTAAATCAGTGAAAACATGAATCAAACGGTTTTAATTGTCATCCTACTGATATGGTTTTCAACTCCGAGATATATATTTCATCTACACTAAAATTATAACGAGGTAGTTTGTAATTTTGGATGTACGTTTAATCTGTGGAACAACTGATCCAATTCTAATCATAAAATTCTAATTCTTTCACATTAAATTTCTAATTCTTTCACTAATAAGAAGCTACATACAGGCCATTTTTTATTCTGATAAAAATGGGTTAACCGTCAAATATCATAATAACTCAGAACTAAAGTGACTGTTGAGTTGCTTTATTAGTGTGTAAAGCAATATAATATACGACAAGAGAGCCGCAGGGGTGAACCAGAGCGAAGCGAGGGTAAGACACTAGTATAAACGGCAAATCATTTCTTTGTGAAAAAAATATTTCTTTAAAGATTTTCTAATCTATACTACTGTAATATTTATTATAAATAATCTTGTTATTTAAAAATGATCAATTAACTCCTCCAGGATAATTTCTAAGAAATTAATTGTTAACTGACACACCAGTGTGTCCGCGATTCTCAACAAAGAAACTTGTACTTGAAAATACATTTGCAATTGTATTACTGCATTATATATAAAACATTTTTAACATTTGTCCCTGTAAACAATAATAATAATAATTTGACACAATATATTGTATATATTTTTAAAAGAATATATTTCAAACATTTAGCATAATATAAATAAAATCTTAGAATGCCATTACACTAATCGAAACTAGATTAACTAACATTAAATTGTCAACAAATAATAAAGAACATGCAAGTAACTAACATAATTAGTTAGATTTATATGAAAAACAAACCATATTATAGATTATCTTTTACGCAAATAGAATATGATCCTCAATAATATTATGGGTAAATACTGCATCAAAATAATCTGCTATAACTAAATCTGTAATCATTTATCTCAGTTAAGGTGACAAGGCCAAATCAGTTAGATACAGCCATATCTATTGCGACTGAGATGTAAGTTAATATCAAGTCACAACATACACTGTGTTGCTTTCCTCATTATAACAAAAATAAATGTCTTAATTAAATTTTTATATTATGTATTCAGAGCTTTTTAACATAGCACCACACTGGCTAAGCGGCGGTGGTTGGTTACACATTCTTTCACTCAGATGTCCTTCGAAAACTTGTTAGGTTGTCTCAGACATGCAAGTTTCTTCAAGATTTCTTTCATAGTAAGAAAAGTGGTAATCATGTTGGAAATGATTCGCACATGAAAATATAAAAAGTGCAAGACCTGGGAATTGAACCAGCTACACAGTTTCTCAAGAGAGCAATATTACACAGTTATTTTAGAAGAGCACAGCAACTAGCTACTTCTTGCTGTATTTATATTAAACTAGCGGACCCGACAGACGTCCTGTCTACACGTCTTTAATTTGAAAATTTCAAACTTTTTTTAATAATTTTTTTGATGAAAATTATTATTCAAATTGTGAATCTAAACCATTCCCAGATCCCCTTGAACACACACAAAAAATTTCATCAAAATCGGTCCAGTCGTTTGAGAGAAGTTCAGTGACATACACACTCACAGAAGAATTAGATATATAAAGATACACAGCTGAGATACAATGTCTTTGCTTCTGAGTATAACAACACAAACATTCTTATAAGTATTTAAATTATAACTTCGTGTGAATTTTAAATTTTGATATTATTTTTTATTCTTAATTTCAATTTCAATAAAGATTTAATAATTTTACTTAACACTGTAAGCTTTATTGTAATATCCAATTAAAACCATTTTATAAACAAGAATGTAATAATTGAGGGTATACTAACAAAATGCATCAATAATATGGTTCGCCACATCAAATGACTATACATGGGTATGAAGAATAATATAAAATAAATACATATATTATTTAGTATTTATAAAAATAACATACCTTTATCACTAGATTTATTTGAGCCAGAGGCATTGCTTGATAAACTAGAATCGTCTGAATCATAGCCAAAAGCAGTGCCATCAGTTTTGTTACATTGACGCTCTTTGCGAGTCTGCCATTTTCTAGGCGTGCCATGACCAGGAGAGCCTCCATTTCTAGATCCAACTCCTCCCATCACCTGCAACATCTCCAGTGGATAATGTCGCGGCGTTTGTCTCTCCACATGATTTGTTACCATGTAAATTCCTGGGCCTTCAAATCCTCCATTTCCCTGATACACTACCGGTGCACCTTCATTCATATTGCCGATGTCTGTAGAAAATGTAAAGGTTAAGCATAGAAATACTAGGGCAGTCTTTGGTATTCAGTTACATTTAATAAAATATTAAGTACTAACCTGCCTTCCAACCGTTAAAATTGCTGACGTCTAGCTTGGGTTCGGTTATTGTATCATCCTAGACGTATTTTTATCGCGACGTCGAAATATAATATTTTTCTTATTTACTACACTACCGAAATTCGAGACGGTTTGTCAAACGTCTTATTTTTTGATAATTCGGTGGTTAACGCCTCTAATAAATATAAAAGTCCATTCAACGTACTTGTCGCTGGGCTCCCTACATGCAAACAGATCGAGCGTTAATTATTTCGACGCCGACAATAATAAATCTACCCACGAATTCGAACGTAAATCTATAAATTAGTGAAAAAATCCGCCATGACCTAAGGAAGCAAAACTAGCGACATCTGACACCGGTCAAGTAAATCTACACGTGATATTTTATTTTTTTAATTAATTCAAATACTGACTGTTCCATATTATGCCAGTATAATATTTTTCTTAAACGGTTTTATATATTGATTTTTTTTATAAAATTTTCACTTCAGAAATAAATAATATGTTCAATACACGCTTTATACAATTCCACACTTGTTTTATAAATTGAGTATCATTGCGAAATAATTTACTTGTCACATGATTTTTTTTTTACACTTGCAACTTTAAAATAATTTTAATTGACATTTGACGCAAAAAGATTTTGTCAAATCAGTATCAAAAATAAATTAGTGTTATTTGTATAAATTTTGTAGTAAATTATAGAAATACACTTTTAATTCAAAATGGAGGTTTTTAGATTTAATTTTATTGAAAAATTCTTATAGTGAATTAAATTCAAAGAGTGATGACGTCGAAAGAGAACAATGTAACCTTAAAAGTGCAAAAAATATATAGAAACAAACATCATTGTCTTATTGTATTATCATTTTCCACCGTGCTTTGATATGTCTCATTTCGGTGACTTTATGGACGGTATTCCCGTTAAGATATCAGAAAAGTATAAACGGCCACCTAGAATTGATTTGCCTTACAGTGTTATAGAGTGTCCTATAAGAGCTCAAAATGTTGTGGAAAGTGTCGAATATTGCTCAACGTTCGAGCGTAATGTACTTTCTAAACTTAAAGAGCTTAAAAGTGCGAAAGAGACGAAGAAAAATGAAAGACGACATCGCTTACAACTATTAGAGGAGGCAAAGCAAAAAAAATTAGATGCTATAGCTGCTGCTGAAGCTGAGGAAAAGTTGAAGCAGTTAAGTGTTTCGGAGGTATCATACCCTAGTACTGATGAGATAAGTGCTATGTCACCTGATGATAAACTTGAAAAGAACTGTGATATATGTCCAACTCAAGATAATAGCCCAGAATATGACAAAACAGCATCTGTTGAATACCCTTGTATTTCTACTCAGGAGTCTCAATTAAATATACTACAACCTATACAAGTCCAATCGAACTATCAACAAAACAATTTACTTGATGATCCAGATCCACTGCAAGAATATAAAATGCAACCTAAAATGAAAAAAGTTCCACAACATAATCAGAACATAGAAACTTTAACATATAAAGATTTTGAAAATGACACATCTAGCCCTTTTGATAATGTAGAACTAAAAACGATAAATGATATGGAATTGCTAGCCCAGGTCTTACAGAGTCAAAGAGATTCAGCAATAAGTTGTGAGACACAAACATTTAATCAAGATCAAGTGTATCCAGGTTATGCTAATTGTGCAACTCAAGCCCAAATTGAAGGCATGTCATATTTACCTAATGCTTATGTGGAACAACAGATCCAAGGGCCAAGTGTAGTGTATTCCTCACCCCAGCACTATCCAGTGTCTAATGGCTTTTACATTCAAGCTGAAAACTGTGATAATGCTTTTCCTGTGGAAAATGTATACATGCCAAACTATCAGTATTATGTACCTACTGAAACCTATGCAGGTCAATATTATAATCAGTTACCAAATTCTAGAGATTTACAAATACAAAATGGATCAACATTTATACCTCAACCATATTATTTTTCATATCCTCAAGTACCTATACCATATGTGGCTAATAATTTGAATACAAATATAGTACAAGAAGTTAAAAATCAGGAAGATGCACCTAATCCTTCATTGACTTCACAAAATGCTGTTAAATCGCGATCAAGAAGTGTCCCAGATATTGTAAAAGAATTAAATGACGAGTTAGTGTCAGCCAAGCAGAGAGCTCATGAGCGTTCTTATAATGCAAGTCCTGCAAATGTGAAAGTTCCAAGATCTTCATCAAGCAGTGATAAAAAAGAAGAGAGGAGGAAACAGAAAAAAGAAAACCTATCAAACCCATATGAAAAGCTACCTCCAAAATTACAAAGTATGTGTCAGAAAATACATGGCATGGGTTTTCCTTTAGATAGGGTTGCCAGGATGTGCAGTCTTATTGGTGATAATGACAAAAAAGTAAGATAATTACTCTTAAAATTAAAATTTAAATATATATCGTTTTTAGAACATAATCAAAGATAGTTAATAAAAGCTAGCAGCTTGCACTGACTAGAACCACCAAAGCAGCTAGGTAGCTGCTTTTTAAAAACAGATTCTTTGAACTCAATAAAACTTAAAAATTGTAAGAATACAAACTACTTATTTAGTTTAATTAAATAATCAAAACACTTATTCATACAATTGAGGTTATCTTTATCAAATAATTGTTAAATAAATAAAGTTTTGTTATCAATATCAAAATATAAATAGTGCCTGAATTATTAAATTATATCATTATGTAATTACCTGTATGTAGTAATTGAAATGCTAAATGATAAATAGTTTGCACACAATAACAGATATGTTACAATTTGCATTTATTAAAAAGAAAGTAGTTTAATGAGAAAATTATCCTTAATGTTACAGGTGATAGAAGGTCTTCTCATTTTGGGTGAGTTGACAGACCTTGGATTTCCAGAAGCAAGAGTCTCAGCGGCGCTGGCTAAACATGAATTCAACAGAGAAAAGGCTTTAGATGAACTCATTTCTTAACGAGTGTAAAAAGATGTAGTTTTATAGCCCATCATTAGTTAACTGCATATGTCTTTGTCAATCGAGCAATGTGATGTGTACGAGTTGTTACAAGTTGACAGATAGCTTGCTGAGCAATATAGATTTTTAATATATTATAATATAAATTTAAATTATAAATATGTATAAATTTCTAGTGTTTGATATATATGTGATTGTGGAAATATTTATTTTCCTATTTAAGCTTAATAAGCATTTTTTTGATGAAGGACAAGCATTTTTTCATCTTATTCCATATTGAAATTAAAAACATATTGTCTGGAAGAATTCATAAAATATGGTCATAATGAACTAATATAATATGACAATATATATGTCGTAAATAAGCCTTTAAAGTGTTCTTAATAATTATTCTTCTAAAGCTAATTTAATTGTTAAAAATAACATTTCAATATAGTCGTTTAAAAATAATTGCAATTCACATGGACTTAATAATGTTTAATTTAGAGAGTTTGTAGAGGGGTTTCTAGACAATACATTTGTGAAACGATAAACTTAAAGCATTTAGCTTTTTAATTGTTGTTTGTTTGAACATTTATGTATACTATAAACATAAACAATACAAATATATAAAAATAATAAATGTCACAAAAAGAAAAGTTTGAATTATAAGTAACATTGATTTATTAACTAATGAATACTCTTTAATTTTAGCTGTTTCCGAATGTATGGTCTGTTAAAGGGGCCCAGACTAAAGTTATAAGACAGAGTATATAGAACAGTCAAAGAAAAACCAATTTTATATGTCATTAATGATTGATAATCTCTACCTAACCGATTTCCCTTAAGGCATGGAATAGTATTATAGTTGTATACATACTTTGTGTACTAAGAAAACTATTTCGGGTTTAGGGCATCACTGTGTTTTTTTTATTGTCTTTCTTATTATTTTAGTCTTGTTGCAGCGGTCGGCAAAACTTGGCTAGAGCACCTTAAGTCGTTCCTTCTAAATCATTCAATCAATAAATTCACCATTAAGATATAAATAAATTCTTATTAGCTCTTTTTAACATCCCACTGTTGGGAATGTGCCTTCTAATGCGAAAGACATCAGACCATAATCCACCACGCTGGCCAAGTGTGGATTGCCAAACTTCACATGTCTTTCAAAAACTCAAACACGCAAGTTTCCTTACGATGCTTTTTTACACCCTAAGGCGAAAATATGAAAAGGCAGAAAACATTTTTTAAATAAAACCGGTCAAATCCGAGTCGGACTCGTACACGCAGGGTTCCGTACCATTGTAGAAGAATAACACTATGTACTTTTTAAATAATTTTGTAAAAGAAACTGGAGGCTATTTTTATAAGTATGGCTGACCATTTTGAAATTCGCCATCATGTTTTTTTTTCATTTTCGTATATTTGTGTATTGTTATAATTATTGTTATTGTTAAAAGAACTGAACTCGCTGACCAATATCAACTTAATCGATTTTTTAATTTGCAAGGCGGATATTTTGAAATTATAAAAAAAAATCTTTATTGTAGCGGCAATAGATATACATACACTCATATACATTCTGAGAAAATGTCAACTCTACTACCTGTTACGTTACGTTCATGAGATACCTACAGCCCGCTGACAGACAGACGGACGGAAAGCGGAGGCTTAGTAACAGGGTCCCGTTTGCATCCTTCATGTACGGAACCCTCAAAACCAATATATTTACTTTGGCCGGCTCTGCCGCCTTACGTTTGTCGACCTCTGGTCTAATATATTGAAAGCACTGCCAGAAATACATTACGCTGGGTTCACATGGCATTGTCCTGCACGTTTTTTTACAGTATATGTACGTCTTAACAAATACATAGTGGCACATACATTGTACATAGAACCGTTCACACGTCTTTTGTACTGCGAAAAATCGTACACCGTTTATACGTTTAATCGAATACTCACCGGACTTGTCAAGGAAGTCGAATGGATTTTAACGTGTCCGGTTTGCAGTGGCGCATAGGTTAGCTCTGTCTCTTTCACACGGCACGATGTCATACGTTTTTTATCGAATAGCAACCGTTGGCGCCGATACCAATATGAAAGTACAACCAAGCGTGAATTCATCACTCACGTCTACTCACTATGACAACGTGTGAAAACTGCAGATATTCGTTTTTACAAGTCTGAAAATCTACCATATGAACACCCGGCTGATTGTACGTTTAAAATCGAATACTAAAAAAACGTTCAGGACAATGCCGTGTGAACCCAGTGTAGGGTAGAAAAATACGCTTAAGAAGTAATCGGTTAAAGATATCTGCAATGGTACGTATGATTTATATGTTGTTAGCTTATTATGTTGGCTACGAATGGTTTTGATTGACTTAACACTCGTAAAATATTTTTGTAGCAACAGTTGTAACTCATTACATATATACTAAAATTATAAAGAGGCACAGTTTGTTTGTTCGTTTTGAAAAAAAAACTTTTTGTTTTGGATAGCCCGTTTATTGAGGAAGTCTATAAGGCTGTATGTCATATATAATATATAGTCTTATCTATTCCACACTAACCGTTAAAACGTACCTAGGGACGAGTGAAGCGAGGGTGATTCGCTAGTCTCATTATATATTACATTTTGAATTCAGCTAGGTATATACTCATTCTAAGAATATAATTAATGTTTAGTTTAGCCCATGGTTATTGCATTGATTAAAGGTGTCTGCCCACTAGACCGTATCAACAGCGTATCATACCCGTACATAACGGTTTTAGTGCTGCGTATGCTCATCATTGCGCCGCCTGCGCGCACCGGTCTCGCAAAGTCGCGTGCCAGGCAAGGAGTGTACCGGCACCGGCAAAATATTCTCGCCGACAATTGTTACCGCTCCGTGTACGGCACGCGACGGTACCGGTCCGGTGATGGAACGGTCTAGTGGGCAGAGTCTCATACTTTTCAATACAAAGAATATTTTTTTGCCCGACACGGTTCTAGCACGGTCATGGTATGGTAGAGTAGGCAGACACCTTAAAGCTGGCGATGGTGCCGCATTGGTTTCAAAGGCTCATTTATTGGCAACTATTATTCAGTTCAAGGTTTCTTGGAAAATATCCTATTCGTGAACGCCATTTTTTTATGTTTTTGCTTGTTGATAACAGATCGAATGTAAATTGTAGAGCTTATGAATGAATCGATTGTAAGTTTTTTTAGATACGTAGTGCATTGCTTACAAGCTCTTTTTTTTATCTCTATTTTTATTAAGGGACTTTTATCCTTTTCGGACATGTCAGTCCCATCATATCTTAACCTAAGTACAGCATCACATATATATTATGGAAAAAGGGAAATAGATTCAATGTTGCAAAACCATATCCACCAAAATTTTAACAACATCAATACTTATTGGGTTCGCTAATATACTTAAGTATGGTCCAATATCATATCTATTAATATTAAGTTTTTGCATTAACTAACGTATTGAATTTCGAAATACTTCAAATCATTTTTAATTATTATCGTTCGGGATATTTTTATGGAAAAAGTAGTAGTAATTTAGTAATTATTTATATGAGAAATATGCATTTCTGTTTAATTGATATAATATGTACTATTTATGGATTAAAATTCTGCAATGTGCAGTGGGTTCTTGAGGGTAGGATTTTTGAGTATCATATAATTTTAAATATTTTATTTTGTGCAATTCTAGATTTTAAAATGCATATGCACCTTTTTGCCATTGCACGATATTTTATCTGCTTTGTTGTGCTCCTTGCGTTATATTAGAAAACTTATAAATATTTTTATATCTACTGTATATATTGTGTGCACTGTGGTCGTTTACTTTGGTCGTCCATTATGCTCATTGTGGAAACTGTATAAAGTTATGTAATTATAAGATTTTTTAACTGTAAAGAAATTATTATTAGATTGAAAGGAAATAGCAAAGTTTATATACCTATGTTAATAAATATCAGAACTATTGTATGTATGTAGATTCGTATATATTTTGCAATATCTCTGCATTCCTATATTTTTTTTTTGTATTTTTAGAAATACACATTAAAGATGGTACATGTGGCAGTTTTCGTCGTCTTTTTCGTTTATAATAATCTGTCGTAACATTTGCCAGTGTGATATTCAGTTACTTTTTTCTATATATAGGTTCGGATGGAGTAATTCTTGTTACACAATATTGTATTTAAAATTAATGTATTTACGAGTAACATACAACAATTCCCTTGATAACTTATTTTTAGAGAAATCCTGAAAAATAATCCCTGAAAAGGTTTTTTTTATTGGAAATTGTCACTCGTATTATTTATACAAAATAGATTGTGATCATTTTATGTAAAAGTACTTACTTGTTTTTATTTAAATTACACAGGTAACAAAAGTATATATATAGCTACATACAATTCTAATTTAGCATCAAGACAAATGCGTATTATTATGAAAATAAATGTATTAGATAAACATTGATGAATTGAGGTGGCGATCTTGAGATGTTTGTGATATTTGGAGGTACATATTTCTTTCATTTTGACTCAAAACTAAAATATTATAAGGTTTACTATGTATGTATATTTTATGCGTGTTTTTTAGATCATTAGAAGAAATTTTTTTTTTTTTTTTAAATATTAAAAAGATTTAGAGCACTGAGCAGAGGTCGGCTATTACAGCGTTGATTCCATCAATGCTGTAATGTCTTCCGCATCTATATAATATTGAAATACATATGTTAACAATCATTAGGTCTAAGTCTAGTCTTAGGTCTAGGCATTATGTTTAACGTCACTCGTGGAAGTGAAGAAATAAACGGGATTCACTTTGACTTCGAACATTTTAGAGCATAAAAGAAATTTTCGAGCAAGATTCGAGATGTCATCAGTACATTTATAACAAAATCATCTCGAGATTTCCACCTGAACTGAATGTAGTTGTATTTTTAATTTATTTTAGTTAAATGAAACAGTTAGTGATTTTGCGGTGATGCTTGGGCGTAGAGTGAGTTACATTG